AATAAAACATGCAATGTCTATTATAAGCTTTTTGTGCTTTATCTAGAACAGCCAAACAATATTTATGTGAATTATAATTATCGGTAGCTTCATGATGACGATGATCAGGCATAACATTATGACCGCCTCCTTGTTTCTACGCTCATTGTCCATTTGATCAGCTCCACTTACTATAGGTGCACTTTGTTGTTCTACAATCACAGACTGTAGTCCATCTGTTTCTCTGCATACTTTGTTAGCCCCCTTTTACCCTGTTCTTCACACTGATGTGGTGGTGGTGTGTTAGTGTGTGTTGCGCTGGTCTGAGTGGATCAGACACAGCAGTGCTGCTGGAGTTTTTAAACACCTCTACAAAGTGCGCCTATATAGTAAGTGGAGCTGATAAAATGGACAGTGAGCATAGAAACAAGGAAGTGGACATAATGTTATGCCTGATTGGTGCACACTGGAATCCCATATGGGTGCTAGAAGATGTTAACATTGTCATAGAGATGCTTTTGACAGAGTTTGGACATCTGCACCCCAACTGAAGGCCTAGCTTCAGTAGTCACTGTTTGCCACTGCTGTTTACAGATGCTCAGATTTGACCTCTGTTGCCCCCCTTGAGGGTTTTAACCACCACAGTAATGCATTTTGAGTTTGTACAGGCCTGTGTGTTTGCAATGTGTTGGCCGATTGTTGTCATCTATGTTCGCGTACTAGTGTTTTTGGTTTAACATGCTTTGTATGTTGCAGTGTTACAGTAAATCCTGTTACAGTGAATCCTTAACTCAACCCTAAAGCCTCTGAGTGGTAATGTGTTAGTCTGTTTTCAGTTTGCTGAGCTCATCACACTAGACCTCAAGTCCAGTGTGTCAGCAATGTATGGGATTTGGTTAGTAAATAAAATGTGTCTACAGACCACCTCCTTGTTTCTACACTCACTGTTCATTTTATCAGCTCTACTTACCATGCCTCAGCGTCACTGTCGGACTGAGAATAGTCCAACAACAAAAAAATGTCCTGTGGCCACTGATGAAGGATTAAAAGATGACTAACTCGAACTGTGCAGCAACGGATGAGCTACCGTCTCTGACTTTACATCTACAAGGTGGACCAACAAGGTAGGTCCGTCTAATAGAGTGGACAAAGTGGACGCAAACTGCAGCACTGCTGTGTCTGATCCACTCGTACCAGCACAACACAAACTAACACATCACCACCACCACCAAATTAGTGTCACTACTGACAATGATCCACCACACAAATAACACCTGCTCTGTGGTGGTCTTGTCTCTGTGGTGCTGACCATTGATGAACAGGGTAAAAGGGGGCTAACAAAGTATGCAGAGAAACAGATGGACTACAGTCTGTAATAGTAGAACTACAAAGTCCACCTAAATGGTAAGTGGAGCTGATAAAGGTTCTGGCTACACCCCAAAGCTGAGTTTAAAGTCATGGAGGAACAGGATCAAATTTACTGTAACTAAATTCATCAGAATTATAAGGAGAGTTTTAAACAATCATATGTCTATGATGATTTTTAAACTCTAAGAGACTGTCAGGTATGTTATCTACAGTGATGGTAACTGTTTAGATTTGCAACTTAAGTAGTAATATTAATAATAATAATTGATAACATGGCCTTTATTTCACTTGTGTTGGAAGCCAAGAGACACATGGACAAAAATATGATCATAAATTGTAAATGACCTCTAAATGCATTTATGAAAACATTGTGAATGTGAACACACATTTGTGTGTTCAGAGTATTTTTTGAAATAACTGAATTGTAATGTGACATTTGAGATTTCCTAAATCAAACTAAATGGTTTAAATAAAGTTAGAGATTTACACCTGTACTAGTCAGTATCAGAGATTTAACAGACCCCTACAGCAGGAGACGTCTGGTGTAAACTAATGCAGGATTGCGGGCGAGAGAGCAGCTGTGGAAGCAGGAGAGGACATTGGAGGTCACTAGAAAATTTAGATCACAATTCTAGAAAATTAGTTCAAACTGAAGTAACCCTAGCCCTAGACAAGTATTTAGCTCTTTATAATATAATTATTCATATTTTATAATTAATATAGTAATATATATATACAATAATTATGCTATGATCTCCAGTCACTAATATAGATATAGATAGTAATAAAATCCAATGTCTGCATACAGTCAACAAATTCAATAGTTTCCATTAGTTTTGACAGACATCGTAAATTTTTTAGTTTTTTTAGAAACTGCTGCAGATGGCGTCACTGTGCTAGTTGATGGGTCGTTATGTTTTTAGGTGGTGTTGAACCTGTAGTGCAGAGGTTCTTGGTCGTGGTACTCCTTAAAAGCAAATTGCTTTTTTTTTGTTTGTTTGTTTTTCCTGCTGAAAGTGTTTTAAGTGTGCCTGCACTGACCAGCTCAGGAGAGCGAAGAGAACAGTGTTTTTAATGACTATGTCTAATTTTCATCACCATTAAAAGTATTTGCAAAGATTCTGAAAACTAGATTTTGAAACTTTGCTGAAGGACTATTTAATCTGATGTATTTGGCCAAAAATTTGAGGCGTTTTCAGTCAAAAACTGATTACAATTATTATTATTAATATTACTACTACTACTCTTTTTTTTTTAACACTTTTGGCCAAAAACGTTCAGCAGCCAACATTTCGGTGGAAACATACATTTGGCACTTGAACACAGAGTAATATCACTTTAGATAAAAGCGTCTGCCAAATAAAGACGTGTAAATGTGAAAAGAATAAACAAATTGCTTACACATTTCTTACCAGTTTATTTGTAACAAATAAAGAGTTCCATGAATACCCCTGTATTCTCACACAACTCTGTCCTCACAACATAAGTAGGAAAATAAAAAAAGCATAAGATTAATTCTCTAATATATATTTACATTTACTACAAAATCAGAGGTAAATGATCATTGACAGGCCTCACTTGTGTTCACGTTAACCAATGGGTAAAATTGCAGAAACTCTCACATCACCGTTTAACAAAGTAATAAAAATGAATAAGCGATAAAATGAATATTTGGTCATTTTCACATGATGAAACATGGTCTGCCTTGGTTTGTACATCATAGTTTCACAAAGTGAACTGCATACTCACACTTCTGATGTAGCGTTTTAGACAGATCAGCAATGTGAAAACAATAAAACGTATAATAAAAGTCGGCAAATAACTGCAGCATGATAATAGGCTGATTCCAAAGGTGGATGGTAAGAGTTTTTGCAATTCAGAACTTGACACATGAGAAAGGTATTTCAACTGCAGAGATATCGAGAAACACAACAAATGCAGAAAGAAGGAAGCGTAAGGGAGGACAATGATGTCGAATGTCGCAGGGGAGCCAAACAGAGCATTTAAATTAAATCAACCGAACCTTTGGCTCCTGGTAAAAACATGTTTCCTTGAGAATCTCGGTACGTCCTCTTTCTCAATGTACCAGACTCCTGACAGAGGACTAGCGAGAGAACTACGATCACGTCATCCTTTCTCCTGTAGAACATTTAATGCTAACACTACAAGTGTATATTCTCATTATTCTTTGACACCAAAAGATATTCATTTTATATCTTAACATGCACACACTGTGAGCAGTACAGTGATATTCTTCTCAGACGGCATCAGTAACATTCCGTGCTGAAGAATTAATAAGGGTTAGTGCATAGAACAAGAGTGCAGTCATTTCCAAAACGCCAAAGAGGCTGTTCCCTAGTGTGGATTACGCCATGGCCGCTGTCGAGAACAGAGACACTAAGAGCATTTTCACATATCTTAAGCCGATCAGATTCCTGGGGTGCTTGGCCCCCTAAATTGCAACCAAAACTCTTTGTGAAATAGGGTCGCATCACAGATCTCTGTGGGCTGTTCCACAAATAGACTGCTGTGTATTTCCATGGCAAGATCTGAAATTTTTACATAGTGTGAATGACCAGAGAAGTCTTTGTGATGCCACTGCCATTGACGAGAGCATTCCTCTTTAAATTGGAAACCACAAAACTCATGTTTCTGCATCTTCATAGTGCAAATTATGTTTTATAGAACACGTAAATAACCCCCAGGAATCCCTTTTAAACTACCAAACCTCTTATGTGAAAATGCCCAAAGAGTGAACATGTCCAAAACAAAAGGATGAAGCAGCACCTTACTATCTGAAGAAGTGTTTTCAGACACTGCGCACTCTCTGAAAGGCAAAAATATAGGACGATTACAGTAACAAAAAAAAAGATGACGACATAAAATACAGTTATGTCAAACACATATAAGTTTACTTATTTGATGTAATTGCTTATGATGAATCACTGCCATGTAGGAACTTTTTAAGAACCGGAAAAATATATAAATACAAATGATTTCTTGCACATCTTTTCAAAATGCATGAATGTCACCAAATACATAAAGTTCTTTCAAAAATGTGCATGCATATACTGTAAGTAGTAAGAATTCCTAAAGGCCTTGGCAGCATAAATTTGGGTTGATTAATATGGCTTTGTAAAAAAAAAAACAACAAACATTAGTGTGTATGTACCACAGTGAGACATACTGCTTGTTGTTACCCAAGTGATATTAAAATTCTGTGGCACATGTAATCGTATTTTATCAAAGTTGTCTATAATTTAAAACGCAGGTATACATACACAGAAGTGAATCAAAACTTGAACCATTTACAACGTTTAAAACTATGATAAGGCACTACTACAGCTGAACGATCATTTGTGTTATTGTATTGAACATGTCACCATAAAGGTTTTGATAAGGTGAACTTCAAAACTTAGTGTCTCTGTTTGGTCAAGTGTAGCAAAAATTCTTTCGGTTGTTTTTTCTATCAAGTTTTCTTTGACATTTGTGCACAAAACGGTGCCTCACTTAACATTTCATAGTTAAATACCACCCAAAACAATAAATCTTTATGTGATAATATATATGAATACTATATATATATATATATATATATATATATATATATATATATATATATATATAGTTATATTTAAGTTTTTATATTTCAGTATAATATAAGATTAAACAGACAATATAATTACACTGTGGATTACCAGTCTGGGTGCTTTTCATTGAAATTCAAGGTGCACTCATATTCAGTATTGCACAGCTTTTCAAATATCTTGCGACTGCCAATCCTCTCCTTTCGTATATGTGCATGTCTGTGTGTATTGTGTTATCTGTAGGCTGAAACAGAAGGTAGTGGCACAAGCTCCAAAACTTAAGCAATTAGGTATTAGTCCTAATCTCTTTCAGTCATAGACACAAGTGACTTAGTGGTGTCCACTTTACAATTGGTGACACAAATCAGTGGCAAAATTCATTCGAAAACACTTAGCTTTGTTAATCAAAACTGTTTTTAAAGTGTGATTAAACAAACATTCCTAATCGTTTGGCCACTCATCTCCCAGGTGCTTTGTCCACAGTGTCTGTAACTGTTCAACCTAGACAGAATACTTCACCTAGGAGTTCCTGTCCAATCAACTGTTATGCAATTACCCACTGCAGCTTATTTTATGCTCTCGGAACGAGTGTATCACATAGGCTCGCTCCAAAGCTGGCTCAGTTTGTTCACTCTGAGTTCAGCTTAAGGAAGCTTCAGGTTGAACTGAACAAAATGACCTGTGGCTCAACTTGATGTAGCCTTTAACTGAACCCGTAACCCAAGAATACAGCTTCAAGGTGTAATTGCCCAGACAGTGTGAAGACAGTGGCGCAATGGGAGAAAGTGGTTTGGTACGGCAGATAACAAGGGAAATGGTCTGTTGGTCCAGAGAAACTGGAAAGCTTATGTTGCATAGTGATCAAAACTGCCCAGGTACTCCAGTGCTGCACGGTAGCAAAACTGGTACTGCTCCTATGGGACACAGAAAGTCAGAGGTAACATAATTGTAAGAGTTCATTTCTTTAATAAACACTCAACTTCCAAAAAGTCAAAATTTCACCATGTGAAGGTTTTATGCAAGCCGCCACACCAAATGTTGTAGTTATAGATATTGTTGATATATGTTGAGGATATACGGTGGCATAAATGTGTTTATAATATGACCAAAAGAATTTGGACACCTGACCATTACACCTATATGAGCTTGTTGGAAGTACCATTCCAAAACCATGTGCATTAATATGGAGTTGGCCCCCTTTGTGACTATAACAGTCCCACTTTTGTGGGAAAGCTTTCTGCAAGATTTTGGATTGTGTCTGTGGGAATTTGTGCGTATTCAGTCAAAAGGGCATTTGTGAGGCCAGGAACTGATCTGACAGGGGCGCAATCATGCTGGAGCAGGAAAGGGTCTTCTCTAAACTGTTGCCACAAAGTTGGAAGCAAATGTCTCTGTATGGTGTAGTATTAACAGCAACCCTGAAAACAACCCCAGACCATTATCCCTCCTCCACCAAACTTTACTGCTGGCACTTTGCATTCAGGTAGGTAGTGTTCTCCTGGTGTCCGCCAAACACAGATTTGTCTGTAAGACTGCCAGATAGTGAAGCGTGATTCATCACTCCAGAGAACGTTTTGACTGCTCCAGATTTTAGTGGCAGCGTGCTTTACACCACTCCAGCCCAGGCTTGGTATTGAATATAGTAATTTTTGGACTGTATACAGATGCTCAGCCATTAAAAAATTCATTTCATAAAGCTCCCATCTTATGGTAAAGTTGCTCTAAGAGGCTGTTTGAAACTCTGTGAGACTGACTCTGTGAAAGTGAGTGATGCAACAGAGTTTTTTTATGTGCTATGTGCCTCAGCACTCGGCGGCCTTGCTGTAGTGAGTGATGCAACAGAGCTTTATATGCACTTTGCGCTTCAGTGCTCTGCGCCCTTGCTCTCTGAGTTTGTGTGGGCCACTGCTCCCTAGCTAAGCTGTTGTTGCTCCTAGACACTTCCATTTCACTAAAATAGTACTTACAGTTGACTGATCTAGAAGAGCAGAAATTTCAGACTGACTTGTGGCAGTCCCACGTTTAAAGTCACTGAGCTCTTCAGTACGGCCAATTCTACTGTCAGTGGCTATGACTGATTTTTATAAACTTTTTATATACTTGTTAGCGATAGATGTGGCTGAAATGAGCTCAAAAATTAAGAAGAGTGTCCACATTTTGGCCATATAGTGTAGATATTTATCTCAACCATTGTATCGTTCAATTACATGGATATTTGTTCTGCGCTTAGCTATCCACACTTGAATGTCACTAACGTTAGGTAGCAAGCAGTCTGCCAGGACTTTTGCAGAGATGAGAGGAGAACTTCTAATAAGAAGTTCTACCTTTGCACCCTAAATGAATGACTCCCTCCCCAGTGTTGAAATGCTGTTGCCATTTTTGTAACAAATGCTATGCAGCCGGTGGCAGTCCAGCAAAACTAGGGTTGCCTAGTCTCATTTTATATAGATTTAGATATTTTGATATAGATTTAAATCTTACAAACACCAAAATGTAATTCTATGATGTTTCATTCAATATTTTAACGATTCTGAGTCATTAAACACTGTAAGTCCTGTACTGTAATCATCTAAAGTGTGGTCCAAATGTCTGAGGCCACTTGTGAAAATGCTTTTGCATTCCTAATGTGATTTAATGGAATTTAATTACAAATTACATCATCAGCATAACGATATTAGTAAAAAGCAGTTTCTTTGAAATGCCCCCCTTTCTTTTATGAGAGTCTGCACTCTGTGGACTGTGGAAAAGCCTCTGATGAGTAGATCCACCTGAGTCATCTGAATTTTCTATGTTTTAAATGTTTCAAATTCTAAACTTTTCGATGGTTTATTTGTAGGGTCAAATGAAAAACAATCCCAAATTTTCAAAGTGGTCTCTTTTGGTCCTCACTGTAATTACTATAATTTTTGATTATTTGATTGTTTGACAGTCATGATGTTGCAAAGGACTTGTATACTGAATTCATTTCATACATTTATCTGAAAACAGATTTGTTTTATATGACTCAAACCACTTATTCCAAAATTTTGAACAGTAGTGTCAGCAGTGTATGTTCAAGTGCAAGTGTGCTTACCTCTGTCTGCACCATAGCTGGTCTCTGTGTTCGCAGCATTTTGACAGTTTGGAAGATGTCGACCACTCCTTCATAACGCATCCTCTCCAACACTATACTCAAAGTGATAAATACCCCTGTCCTCCCAACACCAGCACTGTAACACACGAAGACCATTTCTTACCAGTCAACTATTGTACAGACCTCACTACTACTGCATACAACACAATATTACAACAGCAGCTAGAAAAAGCACAGATAATAGTTAATTTCACTCAATTGGTTCACTCAATTTTGAATTATTTTATGTTAATGTCACAATAGCTATAGGTTCATAAAAACATTTTTTAGTTGATACCACAGCAAAAGCAGAAATGTCATTAAGCACAATCACTTATGTATACACTATTAAAACGTGTCATCACGTCATAGGCTATATCATGAAAGTTATCATTTAACAAAAATATCAATCAAACAAAAATAAAGGAAATGTGTGCTTCTATTTTTTGGACATGATACAACTTACATCTGAAATATTTTATGGCACCATTTGCAGAATGGGTTTTGAAGTCCAGTACATTACCATGCTCAACTGCTTTAAATTGAAAGTTTTTTTCCATACCTATTTTTTTAACAGACGGCAGTTGAAACAATGAAAAAAACCTAATCAAATCAATGCTGAAGCCGCAGTTTACTATGTATGTAGTAATTCCTCCGTTTGGTGATGCAGGCGACAATGTGATGTCTAGACAAATGCAGTCAAGAGGTCTCCGAACATACGCTGGTTAGGGGTTTCTGCCTCAAAATGATGTTGCTTTGAAACATCTTTTTGTTTGATGTGTACTGCTGGTCATCATGTTTTTTTGGTATGTGTGCCACACTCTTTACTTGCAGTCAGAGAGGATTGTGGTTCTGATTTAACAGGCACTACAGAAAAAAAATCAACTTGGCACCAAAAAATCCTAATACTTTTGACATCTCTATTTTATGTGTTTTACCACGTTACCCATTTCTTACCTCGCCAATCAGGACATTCACTCACCTGCAGTGTACTGTGATTGGTCCATCTTGACCGAACTGCTCTTTTGTTTTGTGTACTTGACCAATGAAATCAATGAAGCCTTCTCCAGATTTTGGCACACCCTGCTCTGGCCAGTCAGTGAACTGGAACTGCCGCACAGTTCGGGACTGTCCATCCTAAGAAAAGAAATGTGAAATGAAGCCTCAGTAAAATATATGTGTGTGTGTGTGTGTGTGTGTGTGTGTGTGTGTTAGTGTGTATGACGAAATAGCCAGATCATTCCAGACTGCTCCAGAAAAAGACAGGGTGTCTTGGTACATGGTGAGTTAGAGCTGTGTGACTCACTGAGTGAGTGAGAGTTCTCATTCTCCACAATAATAAAAAAAATGAAAACTGTACCATTTCAGGAACATTCTGCAAGTTCCCAGATCAGTTTTTTTGCGAACTTTTTAGAGCCTAATGTGGATATCGTCTGTAGTTGTGTATCATTAAAAAGAAATTTAGATGTTGCTCTCAAGTTGCGCATTTGTTGAAGGTTTTGCGCTATTGTTGGTTAATCGTGAGAATCCATTACAGCATACCTGGTCCTGTTAAATTGGCTGAAGTGCAGCACAATATATACAGAAATATCAAAAAACTACCATTGCTAAATGTGTAACTACTTACCTTAGAATCTTAGAAAAATAAAAAAATGATAATATATAATAAATATGATCCATGTTGTGTAATGAAAATGCCTTCAAGTATCATGATATTTTATTTCTGTATTATTGTCTACCCTTAATTCCAATGAGGAAAAAATGTGGCTTTCACTTGGATAAAATACACTGAATTACAATTAGAACTGACTTTAGATGTACCCAGTAGCTACCCAGTGGCTTCTGCACTGTAACGCATAAAAATGTTTCTTACAGAAAACCCTCATAATAAAAGTAATGTGTGTGCAAATGTTAATAAGTAACATACTCTGGCATCAGTCACTTTAAATTCTCTCAGGATGTACTGGGGCATGTTGTACTCGGCCATGGGATCTACCACAAAATACTGATAGCGTGCGGACCTTTCTGATGGCCAGTACTGATGGCATTTCTCCTGCAAAAGTAAACACACATTTAGACACGTTAATTTTATATTGGGTTCATCCAATTCACAATGCAAGAGAATGCCATGAAGTAATACAGACAGAGAAAATGTTAGAATTTGTAATTTTGCAAATGTGTGAGAAAAAGAGAGCGTTCTCATTAGATTGTAACTAACCCTTCCCATCTCTCTGAGTTTAGTGAGCATGACTACAATAGTGGAGTTGTGTTCCCATAGCATCCTCCAGTAATCTTCAGCTGTCTCAGCCAGAGGACCCTGTGTAGCTATATATGCCCTCTGCTGCCTACGGGGAGATGGGGGGGTTGGGTAAGGAGAAAGAGAGAGAGACATTACAATACATTCTGTATTATAAAACCTACCACCTATACCACCCAATGAAACTTGCTTCTAACTTACATAAACCTTTTTTCTATTTCAAATATTAGATGCTGACTTATTATGAAAAGCCATACCTATATCCATCTATAAAGCTGGCATTGACATAGTCTGAGCCCTCCACTCCACGAATCGGCTGCAAGCTCACCCGTGTGCTCTCGTAGGGCATGATATTGACCAGTCTGTTTTTAAACTTATTGCAGGGCAGGTTAGCACTCACAAATCGAGAGTTGTGCGCCCTGGCATTGGCTAATCTCTAAACCATAACACAGAACAGAAGAGGGAAATTATTAGTTTTTCAAGTGCAGGGCAGTGGGCCTCCAGAACCAGGGTGGAGAAACAGTGAGCTAGACCATAAAGAGTTGGGATCTAGCACTCACTTTAAACTCCTGCTCCATCCCGCTGATGTTGTCAGGTGGTTCGGCCTGTGTCAGCCTCTGTATGTAGGCGTATAGATTCCGTGCAGGAACCTCTGTGTTGCCGCAGGTGACGGCTTCCAGCAGTGCGTCGTAAATGAAGACGTATTGCTCCTCTGTCTGTACCATGTAGTTCCGCTGCGAGCGCATCAGGGTCACATGGCCATAGACATCAATTGTCTTCTCCTGTTTCACTCGCTCCAGCATGGCGTCGATCACGATGAAGCACCCTGTACGGCCAACTCCAGCACTGAAAGAGGACAGAAAAACAGAAGTGCAAACCCTGGGGTATCAAGACTCAGACCCTGGAGAACCACATCGCAGCAAATGTCTTCTCAGATTTACCACACTTAATTATAACCTAACTGAACTAATCAGTTAGTTACCAGACCCTTCGTGTGTTTTGTGTACACGTTTAAGTGCTTCAAGTGTCTGCATCTGTGAATCTGCAAACATATGCAGGCATTATATGCACACATTTACACAGGTGTCATCTAACCTGCTTGCTTGTAACACAAGCACTAGGGGGCAGTGTTGCATTCAGTGGAATATACAGAAAATGATAAAGAGTCCAAGAAACAACAATCCATTTCAACCCTGGAAAAACTTTAATTGCATTGCAATAAAGCAAGAATGAAAGAAGAAGCGGGACTGTTGCTGTGGGCGGCCAACTAGATTACTAGGCCCATCCAAAACTGGCTGGCATACAAATGTTACACAGATTAAATGATTCGTATTTTGCATGAAAACAAAAAATCTTTCATAGAAAAAAAAAAAACTGGCAGAATTTGCAAAACATTAAAAACATTTAGATGGACAGGCCCATCCAGCAGCAACCGGACTGGACCATTCTCCCTGAATCCAATGCGTGGTAACACAGAGAATATGTGCTTTGAACTGTTTTGAGTACAAAGGTTCAAATAAAAAAAAAAAAATATCTGGAATGTTCTCCTTTGTTTCTACCTTCACCAGTATTTTCTTAAATAAGGCTAAGGCTTTGTCACATCAGCTGTTTATGCATATTTTTGTTTAAGTGCTTCAGCCACACTCTTTACATAAAGTACATAAAATCAAACACATAGGGATGCAATCTCCATAGACAAACACACAGTAGAATGGGTTGTACAGAACAGCTCAGTGACTTTAAGCATGGCACTGTCGTCGGATGCCACCTTTGCCACAAGTCGGTTCATGAAATTTCTGCCCCACTAGATTAAGTGGGTGCTATTATTGTGAAATGGAAGCGTCTAGCAGAAAAAACAGCTCAACCACAGACTGGCAGACCAGGCACACACTGACAGAGCGGGGCCAGAGATTGCTGAAGCGTGTAGCATGTAAAACCTGTGTAGCCACTGTTGCATCTTTCAATACAGAGTTCCAAATTGTCTTTGGAAGAAACATTAGCACAAGAACTGCACGTCAGGAGCTTCATGAAATGGATTTCCACTGCCAAGCAGCTGCACACAAGCCTACGATCACTATGCACAATGCCAAGCATTGGCTGGAGCAGTCCCCTTTTCTCTATTTTTAATTTTTTACATTAATGGTAAAACCTTCCTCTCTGTTCATATTGCTCTTGTGCCTCTTGAGTCTCAGTTCCTCTCATAGTGTCTTCGCTCTTAGGGAGTTTTTCCTTGCCACTGTCGCCACTGTCTTGCCTGTGCCCAGATTTTTCTGTAAAGCTCCTCTGTGAGAACACCTGTTGTAAAAACTGCTATGGAGGAACGCCACTATCTAACAGTCTGATGCGCGAACCTGGTGGATGCCTAGAAACTGCTTGTTTAGTTTGGTGTAGGGGGGATAATGGTCTGGCAGTCTGGGTCTATTTTTCAGGGTTTGGGCTAGGCCCCTTTGTTCCAGTGAACAATGTTAATGCTAAAGTATACAAAGACATTTTAGACAATTAAATGCTTCCAACTTTGTGCCAACAGATTGGGGAAGACCCTTTCCTGTTCCAGCATGACTGTGCCCCAATGTACAAAGTGAGGCCCATAAAGACGTGTTTAATGAGTTTGGTGTGGAGGAACTCCAGTGGCCTACACAGAGCCTTGACTTCAACCACCATTTAGCACCTTTGGAATGCTTTGGAATGTCAGCTGCAAACCAGGCCTTCTCATCCAACATCAGTGCCTCACCTATTTTGACTGAATGGGCACAAATACCCACAGATACACTCCATGTTGTGGAAATGTAGCGGAGGCTGTTAGAGCCTATTAGAACCTCAAAGGGGGTCCAACTCCATATTAATGTCCATGTCACAGAAGCATTAAAAAGGTGAAAAAACTTTCAATTACAGCATCAAGTGGCACATTCAGTGGAAACAGCACTGCTATGGTTCGCCCAGGCAGCATTTTCACAATTAGAAAAAAGACATAAATAAAACAAAAACAAAACATTTGTGTGAACAGCTCAACTGGAACAGATGCAAAATGAAATGCTAAGTTAATGTTAAGTTAAACTACAAGAAAAATTGGAAAATGCCACACAACATGCAAGTACAGGCAAACATAGGTCAAAACGTCTTTGAGGTAACTTCTACTAAATTCTGACTGCACGACTGAAAAATGGCCATGTTTCCACATGATTAATCGTGACCGGGTGGCTGGAAAACATCGACACCGTCATGTCTGAACTATTGAAAATGACATCACCCAATGTCCTGAAGAGATCTATACTTGGGGAACTTGGAAAAAGATAAATGCTTAAACCAGTGGCTGCCCACTGGGATCCAACTGCCTGGTTTAAAATTTGGCTCAAGCAACAGGTCCGTTAATAAAATAATGGATGTAATAAAGAAGAATTCAGTTGTTTTCAGTTATTTGTGGCCATATTATGCCAGCGTCATCCAAACCAATTGCTACACTTCTGTGTTCAACCAACCAGCAAATACTTGACACACAGTACTGTAAAGATTTCCGCTTCTCTGTGAACCTCTGCAAAGAAACTCAAGCTCTCCTAGATCTCCTTAGTATCTTAATATTTCCTTTATAGCTTGGTAGATTCTTAGACAACAATGAGATCACATGAAAAGACAAAAGAGGCTTTTGATTTCAATACTCTTACTGTCTCCTTTTGAGTTTTAGTAGAGATCTAAATAAAGTCACACGTTGTGCTCAGATTCGTTCAGATAACAACACTCATCTGCAACTAAACTCTCATCTCTCCTATTTTTCCTGAGGAATTTAGGACAGTCACCATGAAGTTTCCTGAGCCAACAAAAAGCAAAATTTTAGCGATAAAATCTTCTTGGTGGAGCATCCTAAGGTGAGGTGAACACTCACTTGCATTGTGCTGCTCTCATCCAGCACCTTAGTTGTGTCACTCATCCGTGAAATACTTAGGATGCTGAGGGATTGATCCAGATTACACTACATGACTTCTATTTGTCATAGTACACTGACCAGTGAAAACTATTTCAGGTTAGGGAAGAAGGTAATTCAGCATAAAAAAGCAACTTCACTTCAAGTTTATCAACGTGCTAGTGTAATAGTGCAGGGCTCAGTGGTAGAAATACCTGCAGTGGACCACGATGGGGCCAGCATCTGGAGGATTGCATGCTTTAACCCTGCGGAGGAAGGCCAAGAAGGGGGTGGGATGCTCAGGTACACCATGGTCAGGCCAGGCTGTAAACTGAAACTGCCGGACTTCACGCCTCTCACTGCTGCCACTCTGCTTAGCACAAACAGAACCTAAACTGCAAAACTGGGCTTTACACATTCATGTGAGAGTATATAAACTTGTGTGCTGTTTTTGCTTGTGTGTGAGAGAGAAAGAGAGACAGGAGAAAGAGACAGAGAGCAAAAATGTGACTGTGTGACAGAGCAAAGAAGTGAGAATGCGTGGTGTTACTTGGAGTTCACACTGGTTATGGCATGTCAGTAACATATACGTGCAGTGTAAGTGAAGAATGAGCAACTATATGTTGTTTCCATTCCGTAAGTCTTGCATAGGCTATTTCCAAGGTAATGTTTCACCTACCTATCTGCACTTGGCAACAAGTTTAATTGCATGATCTGTATGCATGAGTCTGGCCAATTAAACAGCACATTTTACAGCAGGTTTAAATTATGATGGCACAAACAGTGCGTAGAGGTCAGAGACCACCCTTCGTTTATTTAATTTCCAATCAAAATGGCCATTAAGTTATTTATTTAAAGCAAGAAAAATTAACAGAAAATTACAGCAGGCTCAACAACTAAATTTAGTATAAACATTTTCATCTTTTAGTGTGTCCATCTTTTAACTTTATTACAGCTTCCATTCTTTTTAGTAGACTTGCTATCAGCCTTTTAAAGAAATCTACAAGGATATTTTGTCACACCTCTAAAGTTCAGTCTTTAGCCCAGTCCCATTTCACCCCTTGGCCCTACCACTCAGCCCTTAGCCCTCTGTTTTGGCGTTCAGGTCTAGGGGTAGGGTGCCCATTTTTTGTTGAGATAGAGGGGTAGGGCGAAGTGTTAGGGCTACCCTTCAAACGAAGGTTTTTCAGAGGCACACTTCAAACAGAGTGTTATGAGAAAAAAAAAAACGTCAAGAGGCTGTGCGAGCGACTAAAGAAACTCATAAATGTGAGTATTTTCTCTATTAAAAATTGACGATAACCATTGTTTTATCTTAGTTTATTGTTGTGTCAATGTATTATGGTCATTTTCTTCATAACAAGCATAAAACATCGCTAGTAGTATGCTAACGTCTCGGTAACAAGGGGAAGGGGTAAAAATAAAAAATGTGATTGGGCCTTTGAAGCTGGTTTTCTGCTTCTCATCCTAGTAATTTCAATTACAAATTTAGACTCATCCGTCCACTAAAATCCTACTCCACATCTCAAATGTCGAGCTTTGGTGTTCTAGTGCAATTTTCAATCTTTTTTGTCTGTTTTCTTTTTCTTGACAGCTACACATGGAACCATAGCGTTGAGTTAAACTTAAAAAAAGCTTCAGAAGAACTAAATGAGAGCAAGAAAGAGAGAAAAACGAGAGAAATGCAGAATAGGAGTGCGTGTGTGTGAGAGGCAAAGTGTGGGAGCGTGAGGACAACAGGGAGATCTAATGAGCATAAGCATGTGTTAGAGAGAGAGAGGACAGTGTGTTTATGAGTGTTTACCTTAAACAGAGCGAAAGTCCTGACGCAGTAAGTGGCGAGCTCCACGGTGTCCAGCACAGAAACCTGCATGAGGCCGTACGTCTCTGTGCCTCTGCTGGGCCAGTACTGATCACACTTGTTCTGCACACAGAGCAGCACACAGTAACTAAACTGCCACAGCACAGACAATACTGAATCACTGATTCATAAGGCAGATCTACAGAAAACTCACGACTACATACAGCAACTATATATCAAACATGGCACCACTTCATATTAGGGGTGTCTCAATCAGGTTATTTTGCCCCCAGATCCTTTAATACAGATGATACCGAGTCTGAACCAATATTTATGTTTTTGTACATAATACAGCACACTGTACACTTAGCAATACTAATTCAGTTTAGGTTGGATATGCTAGGCTAGCAATAATTTTAAATGCTACAGTAAAATCACTTAATTTGTAGAGTGTGCACAGGGTGAAGTGATGTTTTTTTTGTCATGGCTTTGAACATGCCATGAATAGCCACACACTCATATTTTAAGACAATACATTAAGACAGTATTGATTTTGCCAAAAAATCAAAAAATTTTCACAACTGTCCACTTACCCCAGTAGTAGTTAATAAGCCAAGGCATATTTAATGTCTATATTTTGCTGGAGCTATGAGGCTAACATTGCAATCAAACACTAGAAGTCTAGATTTGTCATCAAAATCTTTCCCATAAATATATCCCCAAAACATCTCTCACTCAAACTACATCCAGGACTTCGTTAAATTCGCAGAGACTTGTCAATGTGATTTAAGACAACAGTATAATTTACTGTGAACGAAAGTGTAGCTCAACATTGCAGGTTATTTTATACAACAGGGGTGCAGAATCCGACTCCTTGTTGCATGCACACACCTCATGTAGGCATGCAGATGCTAGATCTGAGATTTATGTTGTTTCTATTTTTAAACATATGCCAGAAAGTATCCAGAGCCCCATCTTATTAGCAAATTCAACTACTTTAAGGTGCACGCATAGCTGACACAGGTGTTTGTCTGCACTTATAGTGCATAGTTTCATGTCTGATACCGATAATGATACTGCAACTAATCCAATGCTGTCTTTTTCCCTCTTTTAAACAACTAAGCTTTTGATAATACATTCGTCTAGTTCTAACACTCAAAGTAATGTATACCTCAATGACAGCAAAAAAACAAGTTGCAATGTAGATCATAACATAAAAATAATAGCATTTGCAGTATAAAATGTACAGTGGAACACAGTAGGATAGACATGGAGCCATAAGGCACTCACAACTGAAACTCTAGGCTATTAGATCTGACATGAAGTCACTCACTAACTTATGAGTTACTCAAAAGCTCGAAAGCTACTGTTCACGTGAAACATGCTGCTCATCTGTCTTGTGACTAGGGCTGTCAAAATTGGCCAAAAATGAACACACAGGTTTAAACCATTCAAATATCTATTTTTGCGTGTTATATGCATAAGAAGGCAAACCAGTACCATAGTACTGAAGAGTACATCTAGCAATGATTCAGTTCCCTCTGAAATTCACGAACCAAGTCCCCAGAAGCGCACATTCACTGAAAAGAAATCTGCAACAAATAACACTGCAACGACGGAAAGTAAAAAAGTGCAAGAAAGGTGTAAATAATTGCTTTGCCACCGACTGCACTTTCCATTATTTCAGTGCTGCGTGAATTTATTTTTATATTTTCGAGATGTGCCCTCAGGTTGCTAGTGCTGGAATGGTAGGCTAACTGTAGCTTACACAGCTTGCATACAACTTTATCTCGAGATTTCACAATTTTGCTGTCTACTGACCTTTAAGTACTGCCACTCAGTATTTCCAAAAGGGGCTTTTTAGATCGCTTGGAGTGCAACTCGCTCTCTCTGCAGCCAAGCTAGGTTGTGAACTCTTTGCCATCATTAGCACATGATTGTTGAATTACTAAATTGTTTGCTTGTTTCAGATGGACCTACATTTCATTTTAAATCATGAAAGTGACGTTGTATGACTACTGTCCATCATACAGTGCATTCAGTGCACTCAGGCCCATTTGAGAACTCACTTAGCAAACAGCCACAGTAATGCTACTTTTTTCCACTATCTAATATTAATTTTTACAATCGAATGTCTATTTTTTACAATTCGATTATATAATCGAATTTACGATATTCACTAACAGCCCTAATTGTGACATATCTTGCTCAAAGTTTATGTGATAGTTTGGACTAATGGATCATATCTGATTACACCTTTTTTTTCTTCTGATATCCAATCCCATGATTTTGGCCAGTATCATGAATCAACAGTATGCTCTGGTGCAGCCACACATGAGCCTACAGTCACCATGCCCAATGCCCAATGTCAGCTAGAGGGGTATAAAGCCTCCCAGCACTGGGCTGTGGTGCAGTGAAACTGCATTCTCTGGAGTGATGGGGCTCCATCCAATATCCTTGAGCTAGAGAGGCATTTATGATCCAGAACAAATCATCCAATTCCTCACAGCAGTGACTGCAGCAAAGGGGAACAAACTGCTGAAGACTTGCTTAATGTGTGCAAGTAAAGGTTGTGTTGTGCTAAAATGGCTTTCCACTGAATTTAGCTACACAGTGAAGTTCTGTTCATTTTTTTCCATTCACAGCAAGTCTTACTGTGTTCTCAACCACATCAACAAGTCTGTGCGACCTCCTGGACGCGGTCTGAGAAAAGCTTTGGGGATGTATCTACGTAAAACATTGGTGACTATTAACTTCTAGAGTGTAGCTCCAGCACAAGTGAAACCTTGACATTGGTCCACTATGAGTGGTATACACAGAAACTGGGTAAATCTGGCTAAACTAGCCTTACCAAAGGATCATAATTGGATTGAGCTTAAGCTGATGTTGATCCATTAAAATGCATTGAAAATTCAAATCAATTCTGATAGTAATCTTTTAATCTCAGGGCTCCTATATACAGCAGTTTAATGGCAAATACCACATTATTAAATTACTGTATAAGAGTTACATTTAGATTTGTATTTCTCTGCAGTAAAACCCCCCACCCACCACCCACCAAAAGGTGTGTTCATCTGACCCATAAACTATTGCTTTGATACTCTGATACTAGTAACATGCAGTGATAGTGTGACTAGCAGATCAGAGTGGCTAAATATCAATCCTGGCTGTATGGAGATGCAGAAAGAGAGACAGAAGAGAACATCAGAAAAGGAGAGTGAAGAAGTGAAAGGCATATGTGTAGGACAGCTAGTGACAAAGAAAGAGTGAGACAGTGAGAGAGCAACAAAGGAATCTGAAGGAGACATCTTGCCTTGGAGAAGAAATAGGAAGGCATCTGGAGAACAACAGACAAACACATCAAGCTTTGATCTACTGAGTGACATGAGACAACATTCTGACTGATAGAGGGCACATTATTAATGAGCTTCTGTTCTGCTTTAGTGAGAATATATTAGTAAATGAGAAAGAAAATGTCTATACTGGAGTATTTAAGAATAATTTGAGGATATTTTATTAGTATTGTTGACTTCTATCAGTATTTCAGTATTTTAACAGCATGTGCTTTTAAAAAGACAGATTTAGGTCAGGTCTGGTGATCATTCTTGCTTTACAGTATGTCCAGTTAAATGTGGTTTAAAGTATGCTAACCTTTAACTCTGGTTCTCAGTCCCTGTTCCAGGAATCACAGGCATTTTTGCTTGGAATGTCCCAATACACATTTTTTGCCTCCGATCTGATCCAAGTATTTCATCACTGAGTATTGATTCATCATTAACTATACCGATTCTGATCTTTTCACAAATAATATAGCCACATAATTTATGAAAGATGTGTCAAGTTGCTAATTAATATGAAAGTAAAATTACTGCATTTGCCACTTTATAGGTGTGTTTAAAATTGTTTTTTATCACATTTGACTGACCTACCTGATGATTTGGCTACCAGTTACTACTGATCCTCTGCAGTAGAAGCATGACCATAGTGTTTGTTTTGTAATCAGTTTCGACTTAAAGAACAGTGTAGAAGTGGAACTGTAAGTGGAACTGCAAAGGCCACATGTTCATATTTTACGCAAATTAAGTGGCCTTGCAAATAGTGCTTTTCACTACTATTCATTTTTCACTATAAATTACTTCCACACTGAGGGGCATAAGTAAAATGCATGAAAACATAAAACAAAGTATCTGCATCTGTATCTTAACTAGATTGGGCTTAATATAGCTGATAAATAATAAATAATAAATATTATATGCCTGGATCGGCCTTCGGACCAGTTTCACACAGTCTTAGTTTTAACTGCTCCACCTAATGAAGGCTTAACCTTATCAGACACAAGCTCTACACTGTACAAATAATTAAGAGCATCACTGCTTCTCAGTTCTTTGAGTGAGAGAGATGCAGTTTTTTTCCATGAGACTAGAAATACTGAGTTAATAGCAAGTTCCAGTTTGTCACCATTTGGACCATTTCCTTCCATCATTAAAATACCACCAGTGTGGGAAACTAGCAGCCACCACCAGCCAAATATGGGTAGATATTTACACTTAGTAAATTACCCATCAGTTGAATCAGCAGTGTCAAAGCAGGGGACACAGCAAGATTTGCAGTGTATTCCATGGACTAGGACTGAGAACTGCTGTTGCAAATTCACCTGCAGGTTCATTATAATGATACTTGCTGTGTGTGTGCTTCTATGAGTTGTTTGCTCACCCTTGATTTTTCCTCTAGCTTGGTAATCATAATGATGTTAGCTGTGTGTTGTTCCCAGACCATCCTCCAGAAGTCACTGATCGTCTCGGGCATCGGGCCCTGGGTAGCGATATACGCACCCTGCCGACGGTAACCATCAATGAAGTTGGCATTGATGTAGTCGCTGCCCGGCTGGCCTAAAAGCCCAGAATAGACATGTAGTGAAAACAAAAGATTACAAAAGCTGCTTAGCTACAGAGTCTTCTGAAGGGTACCATATTCACACATTACAAAAAGCACACACATGCATACACACATGTAAAATAAACAAATAAACTAATTCTCATAAAATCAAAATTTGAACTGCAGAGGAAACAGATCAAATCTAATTACCTGAAAATATTATTTAGACAAAGCTATGTTCAGCAAAACAGCCTTTAAAGTTAAAGAAATAGTTCAACAAATAGTTCAGCTAACATAGCTAACAAGGAATGAAAGCTATACAAAATATAAAATACATAAAACATCAGGCTTCTAAATGACCGCTATTTCTGTTTTTAGCTACATACCTTTGTCCATTTTTACAGATTTATAGATGTCATACAGTGTCAGAAACCTGAAAGTCTGTTTCAGATTGCATAACAGCTCAGTACAGTTTGAAGCAAGTATGTTGATGTAGACATGCAATTTGCATGATGCTCGCTGGTGGAGTATAAGTTTCCATTAGATTCATTAGCCTTGCAGTCCTAGTGCAAAACTAAAAAAGTACACTTTATAAGTAAAGCTATAACACTGTATTTTACAAAGTAGATTTTGTACTGAACTACTCCTTTAAAAACAAAGCCTCTATGTCTCTCTGTATCAGACATATAGATTAAAAAGGCCACTGCTTAATGTTTGCACACCCACATCTACACACTTTCCCTCACCATCATTGTTGGAGAGGACTACTCTGGTGTGGTCGTAGGCGATGACATTAGCATAACGGTTCTTTGGTTTGTTAATTTCCAGGTTTGAGTGCTCCCATGAGAACTGCTGCCCAGGGTCAACAGACTATATGGAGAAATGTCAGAGAAATGTCAGGTTTTACAATCATTATCCAACTTATCCACTTACTCTGTAATTACACTCTCACACACAGCCTTTTTTCTAGTTTCTAGTTTCTAGTTTATTAGGAACACCTACCTTGTTCCCACCTACTTTGTACCTACACTCTTTATCAGGTACACGTACCACATAGGTGCATTTCACACAGGTTTGCAATTACTGACTGTAAATCATCTGTTACTGCACAATGTATCAGCCCCCCTCCGCCCTGTCCATCTGTGGAAAAAGACCACCACAGGAACACCAATGACCAGATATTATTTAGATTGTAGATCATTCTCAGCAGTGACACTAAAATGGTAGTGGAATGAACGTGTGTCGTACTGGTACGAGTGCGTCAGGCACAAATAGTCTCTGGTCATTGGTGGTCCTATGGTAGTCCCTTTCCATTAATGGGGGGCATAGAGAGGGGCTAAAATTGTCATTTTTTGATATAATTTGAAAATAACAGCTGTCCTTTACATAGTGTGAAAATTTTATGAATGGAACAGAATGTTCCACAATGACTTGGAACAAAAAACATTTTTACATTAACTTCTACTGAAAGTTGAGACTTTAAAAAAAATTACTGTTTGGAGATACAATGTTTGTGTCTGACAGTAAGGAAACATAGCTACTTATGCAGCGTGAATAATCTCCACAGAAAAGCCACACATGAGCCTAAGTGCCAAGTGTCAGCTAGTTAGGTGTAGAGTCCCCCAGTGCTTGAAGTACAGCAGTGAGGTGGGGACTACAGCTCAAATGATGTATACATGCTGGCTGGTGACATCGAAGGATAATGAGTCATGGTCTTATTACTATTGGTGAAAATACTGGCAAGAAATGACAATCACATCAGTCAGTAAAGCTCTCTTTAACTGAAAATATAGTAGCATAAAATAATAAAAAAATCTAAATATTAAATTATATTGAGTGATATTAATGTTTATTGGATTTTTTCTCCATTTAACATTTGTATCAGACACAAATTGTTTCTTGTTTCTGGTTTCGGTACACTGTGCAAGGTAAACAGGCAACTTTGTGTGCATGTCAACACATACAGTACACATCATGAACAAGTCACATAAACGTGCTTGACTTTACCTCGTACTCTTGAGAGAACCTCAGATTCTCATTGGCTTTCATCCTCTCTATGCAATTAGGCAGTTCTGAGATAGCGACTGGTGGATGACTGGCCATACCTGCCAATCAGGAAGCACAATGTCAGCCAAGAAGAGGCTAAAACAGCCATGCAGAGGCCATGCGGTTACAGGCGACATAATTCAGTGAGGCTTTCTAAGGTATAAATGAAAAAAAACTAGGCACTTTGAGTGTTTTTTCGACTTTTTACACAGGAACAGAGAAAGTGGAGTGATTATATCAGAGAGAGCATGCTGACAGCTGTCTTGCAGGCTGTCATGGCCTGTTAATTTTACCCATTTATTGCTGCTGTTGCTGTGCTTATGTTATCAATGTCCTTTTTGTACTGGAGTTTCAACACTATTCTACGTTGGATGGAATGAATTAAGCCCATTTCACACATACCTATTCTATGAGAATTTAATAGTAATTAAACGGGAAGGCGTCAAGTGTCAGACTTAAAATCCTGGTAAGACTAATGTGGCAATCTACCTGCACAATTCCCTCAAACTACTGAGAGGGTTTATGTGTGAACAGAAGCTGATACATTACTGGGAGAGTAACGTATTGGCTTCTATTGTTTTGCAGTTTTCATGAGGGAAAACAGTGGCATACCTTTTGAGAGATGTGTCAAAACCTTCATGCATGAGTGGCTAATACCGCACAAAAGTGCCACACATTTGACAGTTGAGTTTTCAATTTTGTCAATACAGAAATAAAAAGTTGAAAAATAAAAGTTGGCTCTTCATAACCAGGATGTCTCATACTATTAAATGTCAGTAATGTACCAGGTTCTAAGTGTGAAAAGGGCTTTAAATGACAGTTATTTATGTGTTTGTGTTAATGTATTTTTAGGACTTAATTAATCAGGATGGATTAGCTGAGGGTATGTGCAGCTGAAAGTTAGAAAGTCCATTAAAGTTAGAAAGTTCATATAAAGAGGAACAACCAAAACTAACTTGGTAAACGACGATAACCAGAGGAACGCAAACCTAGAAAGGAGAGAGCATAATTTTGATGTTGTTTGTAAGTGGGTGCATGTGTGGGTCTGTGTGTTCGCTTTCCAAAGGATACATCAAAATGAGTCAGATGCTGAGTGTATGTGAGCCAGACCGCTCAGCATCAACTGTGTAGCAGTGAATGTCTAATGTGTTTGCTACCATTTGTTGGGAAGCAAGTGTGCATTACCAGGTGTTGGGAAGTTGATTCTGCGGAGCTCCACGGGATCAGAGGGATGCTGAGAGCTCATGGCTTTACCACTGCTGGGGAAGCTGCATTTCCTGCCCTCTAACTCTGCCCGCTTCCTGTGACATCACAGAGAACATACAACATTTTTTTCCACCCTACAAATATTTCAGTGTTTTGTCTGATTCATGACAATGTTTTAATGACATTTCAGTAATTTTCCAACATTCTTCCTATAATGTTTCAAAATGTAACCCACCTGTCTGGTTTGCTGGTTTGTATCCAGGAGAAAGAGAGAAAAAAGCAGGGAAAAAAGATATTAGAGAAACACAGTACATTCACTCAGGCATTCACAATATTCATATCCTTTACTTTTTCTTCCCTATCACCCCTTTATGTCTTCTTTTCTCTTCCATTCCAGTTCCATTTATTCAGTTATATGTGCTTAGTTTATTGTTGATGGATTGTTTTTCATATGATAACACATTCACTTTTACTCAAGTGTATTTATAACACTTTTACTTCTACTTAACAACATTTGTGTGGAAAGTAATGACTTCTTACTCGCAATTTCACTTCAAGAGTTCCTTATTCCATTTTTTGGTTTAATTTCATTATGATCTGTGGGTGACAGCATTTGTACAGCAATGTTCTTGTTCACACTTCCCATTTTTAAGCTTCAGCATTTTATTTTATACCAAAAGCTAAATGTATTAACAAGTTCCACTGCAGTTATACAGGCAACACATTGTTTACATTATACATTATTTTTAAGCAAGTATGAGTTTAGGCTACCCTACCCACCACTGCCTTTCTTATCAGTCTATACTAATTTCCCTTCTCCCTGTTACCTCTTAAAGAGGAGGATGAGGATGACGATGCTGATGATGAAAATGACTGCCAGCACTGGCCCCACTACCCAGAGAAGACCCTCCTCTTCATCTACGATTGGCTGTGGCTCGACGTCCGAGAAAACCACAGGGTCAGAGAATGGGCTGGTTGAGCACACGGTCTGTCAAACAATAACCAACAAAAGACAAATAAAAAACCTGAAACATAATGAGACGTTCAGAGCAGAGTAGACTTGGTGTGAAAGGGAACAGTGCAGAATTTGGAGGCATTTTTTAAATTAAAAGTATGTAAGGTGATCCTGTCTAACCACAGTTGAACTGCAGTGAGAAATCATTTCACTTTCATAACAGTTCCATCTCTGACTCTTATCTCTAAAATGTTAACTTTACAATTGAAGGAAAAAAGGTTCTTAACTTTCAGGTAAGTTAATGAAACTTTTATTCCAAGAAATGTTGGGTCATTTTTACTGATCCATTCCTAATTCAATGTTCATAAAGAACTAGGGCTTTTAAATGGTGTAAAAAAAAGGAGTTACCAGTTAGTACTTAATATACAGAAAGGATCATGAGACCATAGTGTTGTTTCAGAAATCTGTACAGCTTCTTATGTAAAAAAATCATTCTCTTTCACAAATAAAAAATAATTACTAACTACTGACAGCCTAATATATATACACACACACACACACACACACACAGACATCATCTAAATCCTTCCGGGTCGTGGTGGGCTGCTGGAGCCTATCCCAGCTGTCATTGGGTGGAAGGCAGGATACACCCTGGACAGGTCGCCAGTCCATCACAGGGCAGACAGACAGACAGACAGACATACACAGTCATACAGACATTCACAACTAGGGGCAATTTAGCATGTCCATTTAGCCTGACTGCATGTCTTTGGACTGTGGGAAGAAACCGGAGAACCCGGAGGAAACCCACGCAGACACAGGGTATATATATATATATATATATATACACACATATGCTTTGAATCTAAAAAGAGAGGGATTGGAAGAGAGAGAGAGAGAGAGAGAGAGAAACAAAGAGAGATACTCACATTCTGTCCCAGTTCCAAGATAGCCAGCACAAAGCAGACATACTCCTGTCCATTAAGTAGCTGTCGATTCAGGAATGCTCCGTAAACACGTCCATCTCCTAGCTTAAACTCCGATGGAAGGTTCTGGAAGTGAGCACTGATGTACGGTTTCAGCTCAGCCTGCCTCCGCAGACGTACTGATCGGCCTGTGCCATTGATCTCCTTCAACAGCTAAATAAAAGAATGAAATAATAAGTAGAAAATTCTTCTAAAAAACACTTCTATGAACATTCAAGAAAACTGTAAAAAAAACAAGGAATAACTAACGATAAAATCTGTTTGTAAAATAAATGAAATCACCTGCACATGAATTGTGCATAGTTAAGTCTTACCACTTCAATATAAAATGTATACTCTTCAAAGTCATCATACATAACTCACTGGAACTGACAAGTCAACCATTTGTATGTGGCTAAAGCAAAACACACTACCTCATCTAGGTTCATTTCATCTGGATCATTCCACAGATTCTGGAAGTTTCCTCCTCTTTGCCTCTTCAGTGGGACAACAACAATATAAAAACCTCTGGAAAAAAAACACCATCATTAGCAGCACTAACAGTAACTTAAACTAAAATCGATATCTATACCTTGAATTACCAAGCCTGTCATAATTACTTTATAATCGCCTTAAGTATTTATAATGAAATTGTCAGCAAAAAAAGTAAAAATTATGAAAGGCCTATGAATTGAACTACAGGCCTAATATTTTATTTATATCAAGGTAGTTTGGCTGTACCAAACACCGTTTTCTTCTCATACTGACAGCAAAGACAGTGATGCACCATGCAGGAATTACATTTATAGACAAGTAATTCCTCTCCAGGATTTTTATTTTTAGTGGGAACACATCTGATTTGTGGTGTTAACTGGGAGGAAAGGTATCTGATTTATGGTCAAATTAATTTTGTATACGCTCTGTAGTTCCTCGCCAGTAAAGTGTGGCATACTGTCATTTGCTTGGTGTCCATGAAAGCAACTGGAACCAAAGGTCAGCTCGAGTGTAGAAACACCTACAGGTGTTCAGCAACCAGTGACTTGGACCACATAAGGTGAAAAGTTGGTGCTGGTGTAAACAAAGGGTTAAATGTTTATTTCCTAAAAACACAACTTAGATTAAGCTAGACCAGACACAGGGCTAACTAGCATACTATCTAAACTATGGTCTAACAAGTATTTTGTGAGCTTTTTGCACATTCCTTTAAATACCACAATTATTGCATGTAGCACTTCAGTTATGTCAACCTTAGTGGTGTTTTCTAACCAAAGACCAGAAATAAAAGGCTTGTTATTTGAAGCCATACTGAACTGGACACCTCTGTGAGTTGCATGACTGCAGTAAATGACTGCACAAGAAAGTTGCAACATTGATAAATTAGGTGAGAAATGAAAGGGTTCATTTTCTGTTAGGTTTTTCTCAGACTGAAATTTCATGAGTCTTTAGTTAAGATTTTGAGCTCAGATGTGAACCCGTCAAAGATTAGTCGGCGTCAAGCTGCAAGTCAGTCAATATGCAACTAAAACACAACTCTGGTACATGTCCTTTTCTTCTATGTGCATGTGTTTCAGACTAACACTAACCTGACGTTAGCTTGTCCTTGTACAGTGGGCAGCTGCAGCGTGGCTGTACTCTGGGCACTAGTCTTTTCAAGGAGCTGAGGTTTGCTGGGCAGCAGGTTTGGAGCAGTCATGGCCTCTGCACTAAGCTGGAGGCCTCCGGTGCCATCGGCTTTGTTGGTTAAGAGGAAGGTGTACAGAGACTGGGGCTTCAGTTTAGTGAGCAGCTTCTGACCGAGTCTACCATCCACCTCTGTGGTCTGGCCTTCCCCATATGTAATCTGAAGGAAGACAGACAGCTAGCATGTAATATAAGCATGCTCACATACACTATACTAATAACTTCACTGTCCAAACACTGACACAGTGTTTATGCAATGAACTATGTGTAATATATGTTCAAGCCAAACCTTCACACCAATTCCAGTCAAACACCTATTTCACTTCATTAGTTGTTTGCAATGTTTAGTGGGTGTGTTTGAGTAGGGCAAACTGTGCCGGAGTTGAATACCCCTGCTTTGCACATACCACAAATACTCCCAGTATAACCTCCACACATCTGGATCCATGCATGTCGAAAAACCAACACCAAGCCACTGAGTAACACTTACAATGAAAGTGTGGGGTTTATTTTGTGATGTTCGTGGCTCCCAGGCTAGCAGCGCTGAACTCTTCAAAGCGGCTTTCACACGGAAGTTTACTGCAAACACTGTAACAAAAAACAAAACAAAACCACCATACATATCTGCACTATTCAATCACACATGACCTATCAGGAGAACATTCATTAGCAATGCCAAGAAAGTGGCAGAAACCAGCTAATACCTGAAACACCTGATTCTAATGTTTGTAATATTCACACTGTAAAATAACACCTACCAGCTACACTGGAGACATACACAGTTGAAATGAACACTGTCACAGCTCATTTAATATGCTGGATTTTTAGGTCTGCTTACAACCTCTAACTGGTACTTCCAAGAGAAGCAATATAAGGGAGTCCTAAAACAATTATTAAAACATTTTCTGTGCATTCGCCTGTGTCTGTAAGTCCTTTTATACACAGTTAACTTGTGAAAAACTATTAAATCTGTTTGGGGAGCTATGTTTTTGCCTTGCTTTACCTTTTTGTGATGGTACTTTACTCTGAAAAGAACACGGGATCAAACACTGTACGATCTGATGCTTAATCTGTGCCAAATAACACAACATAACAGCACAGTTTAGTAAAAGGTCGGTCATCTTTAATTTGGCCACAAAGCTATAATTGTTCTAGCAAGAAAGAACAGAATGTGAATGTCACACAAATTTTTCCTGTTGTAGAGTCTGTAGCCAATTAGCTTAGCCTGATGCCTTCTTCAACAAAGCCATTTTGCCTGAAGCCGCTTAAAATTGCCTGTTTCGCTGACGTATGAGAGCTGAGACATGTTTTCTCTCATATGAGATTCTGATGGTTTCTGATGTCTGAATCCTGATGCTGTGGTCTGAGGACATAAACCATGACATAGCTGGCTGTTTGTATAGGCATCATCTTTGCCACCACACGTATGTTAGAAGAGACTGTAAAATAACCCAATAAAACCATAAACTCCATTTCACATTTGTCATTTATTCAGCAGACATCATTCATCAAAATACTCCTACGCTCAGAGGCCTCAACTTAGAACGTGAAGTTGGTGAACTTCACCAGTAAATGAATAAATATAAAAAAAATCACAGACAGAGACAATAAAAGGATAAGAGACAGAAAGACAAACCGACAAACAGGGTGACAGACATATAGACAGAACTCCACAGGCATGTGCATGAACAGGGGAAAGGGTGTGTGCGGTGAATGTCAGTTTGCATGTCCTACCTTCTTCGATTGGCTGTGTTCTAGTATATAAAGGGGGACTATAGGGCCCTGGGCCGTCTTCGTTTACCACACATACTCTGACCACATACTCAGTATCTGCTTTCAGCCCTGTAAGAACCACAGCTGGTTCCGCCACCTCTGTTTCCATGGCAATGTCTGTCCCATTACTATAGGTGAGTGCGTACCACACACGATAACTCTGAATTGGGCCAACATTTCTGGGCTCCTCCCAGCGCAAGCTGAGGGACGTTGAGCCTATGCTGCCGGCCGTTAAATTAAGCAAAAAGCTGAAGGTACGTGCTGTTTCTGAGGTCCTATCTGACATCACTGTACTGGTGGGCGTGACCTCTGGGGTAGCCAAAGTAATCTCTGAAGATGGGCCGTAACCCCAGGCTCCACGAGCAGCCAGGCGGAAGAGGTAGAGGGCACCGGCACTTAGAGTTGAGATGGTGTAGTTCTGCTCATCCGCCCCAAGCTCCACTGTAGTGAATGAGTCGGAAATGTTCTCAGCCCTCCCGTAAGAAAGGCTGTACCCCAGGACTGGTGACAGGCCAGCAGTGGGTGTTGGCCAACATAACAGCGCAGTGCTGACAGATGTGACACTGACCGTCAGTGCTGGGGCATCTGGCACTGTGGGGGAAACACATGAGAAATATTTAGAAAGTGAAGTTGGAGTGTTGCAGAGTACCTGTAAAAAAGTACTACTTCAGTCTAAGCATAGTCATTATTAATTTATTAAAGCCCTTAAAAGGGCCCACTATTTTAAATTATATGGGTCCACAATTTAATTCCTCACTCTCATAACTGTGTGTATTAGCATCACTGTAGTTACAAAATACTTTATAGAAGTTGCTGAATAGTATGTGTTAAGATATTATTGCATCTTAAGGCACATTATTTAGTAATTACATGGAAAACAATGTAAATGGCCTTAGTAACACTGGGGTTTTAGGAAGAATAGATGCCTGGACCTGCTGACAGATCCTGAAAATTCAATTGGGTTAACCCCTTGAACATCATGGCTACTGCCGTCAAAAAAATAAGCATGTTGTAATTTACTAGGAGTTATTTCTTTATTTTTTCCTAATTAATTTTTATATCGATACAACTCGAGGAAGTTCCACATGAGGATTTGTCTGTGATTTCGAATGATGGCACATTTGTGTGGCAGAAGAGGAGACACTTCGGTTAATTTATCTTGGTAAAGTAATCCTGCAGTCTAATTAACTGTAGTGTACATACGCGCTGGTTTAGTTCTGATGATGATGGCTTTGCTACGAGCTCCATCTCCTTTGGAGGTAAACGCAGCCACTGCCAAAGAGTACTCGGTGTTTGGCCACAGATCTGACAGAATGAGCTCCTGAATGCGCACACACAAACAAACACAGATGCCCATGATTGTTTCCCTTGCATGCTGTATTGTTCCCTTGCATGCTGTAATTCATAAAACCATTGTCATGAGAAAATCTGAGGTCAGGCACTACCCTTTGTGCTGTCTGTGCATTTTATAACTCTGTAAGCTAGTACTAATAACTGTAACCATACCCATAACCATAAATCATACAACTTTGTGTTTGTGCTGATTAGCTGGAAACCCTACAGGGCTGTCACAATTACTCAAATAGAACAGTTTATGCAAAAAATCTAAATGTACATCTTTAATGAACTGGCTTAGAAATTAGTTTGCAATGTCAGTGATAAACAGGGTGTCAATAGATTTTATACAGCTGTGTGTGGGAGTTGAACACCACTGCTAATTGCTAATCCTATTTTTATAGTTTGGGCTTAAAAAAAGGTAACTCAATTGTCAAAATAATCACTAGAGAACTCAACTACCTATATAACCAATAGTGACAGCCTAAAACCTTACTAAATATAAGTGTTCTAATGTTTTGAAAAAGCTGCACGGTTGGACATTTAAGACTGCCATGACAATGACGATACATTTAATCTTAATAAAAATAAGATTAGCAAAAACATGAAGTATTTTTTTATGTGCCAGTATGGAAGAAATTTCAGTAAATGTACTCACATATTCAGCCGAATCATTTTGCAGCTAGATATGAAGTTAAATCAGGAAAAAGATGAGAGATTAAAATGAGAGCAGCTTTCATTTCATATTTCATTCATCATACAGAAACAGTATGACAATTTTACCAAAAAGACTATTGTTTACTACTAAAGCACGTTATGTTTGTTGTAATTACACAATGGCAGGACCGGTGTGTGAGACCTGCAGTTTTTCCACCGTAGTTATCATTATTTCTATCACATCAGGAGGCTAATGAAGCAAGAAGAGCCTAATAGTTTAATGCTGATCTCATTTGGAAGTTCAAAGTGCATTTAACTGCCATTAGCTGGGTTAAGACCTTCACTCAGCTGCAAGCACTTGTAATATTAAACATATTTTATTAAAATAACAGTTAGTCAGTTAGTACTTTAGTCTTTTTTTCATTTACTAATTTAAGGGCTCTTCCTAGAAACTGTTCTTCATACTCACACATCGCATTTACAAACATGGTATGAACCACCCATTAAAAGGTTCTTTTGGGAGCTATAAATGGTTCTTCTAAGGCATCGTGCAAAGAACTCTTTTTTTCAGTGTAATGGGAGCCAAACAAATTGAGAATCTGACTCCATTTAGCCATAAATATAAGATTTTGAAGTTTGTTGTTGTTATTAAATGTTTTAATTATTTTTTGATTTTCTTTAAGTTTGACTGCTGTTTCTTGTGTTTAGAGCTACCTGTGATTTTAGGAAAGCGAAAGGAAAGTGCTGCGTTTGAGAGCGTCAGTAAATTTAGTGCCACCATTTAGTTGCCTTAAAAGATATTTTACATTGCAACATTCATATCATGGTTGTTTTTAATTTTTTTGACATAATCTGAAAACTCCAGTGTGAAAAATTCATAAGGAATGGACCAATATAAATAGACCAAAATCTTCATTAACTTAATTAATTCATATATTAAAAGTGTAACATCTTCCCTTTCTTAATTTTGGAGATATGAGGTTTTTGTTTAACAGCAATGATAATATGTACTGCACATTGACATATATTGTAATTACATTATAGCGTCATAAGACGAAGGGCAAAAAAACTTCTAAACATTTAGGTTATAAATGTAATAAATTGGCATTGATATATACTGTCTCACCTTAAAAACAGACATAAAATTGAATCTGTACACTGCTTGTTTTGTAAATTGTTGTAACTAGTTAGCATTCTGCATAAGTTAAAATACCATTTTGTACATATACAAAATGCATACAAAATATATATAAAATGGGCATTAAATTCCCCTGAATTCCAGTTGTGAGGGCAAAAACTGTTTCTTAAAAATGCTTACAATTACATATTATTAAATAACAATGTTTAATACATATATATATATATATATATATACATATATATGTATATATATATGTATATATATATATATATATATATATACATATTTATATATAAAATTGAGTTTTTACATAAATGTGTAAATGACTGAACAACACTGATACATTATAAATACATTTGTAATAACGTAGTTTGATTGTATAGTACAAAGATGGGGTCAAAGTGGTTTCTACATCCTCAGGGGGACTTTGTGTAGTCTGATGTGTGAAAATGTGTCTGTTGTGTGTGAGTTTGTGTGTGTGTGTGTGTGTTCCCGTACCTGAGAATCTCTCAGCAGGAGCTCTTTGATTCTTGGAGAACCCATTCTCTCCCCGGATGCGCGTCTCATGTATGTCACCTGGTAACCACGGATCTTTCCATGCTGTCTCTCAGCAACGGGAGGTTTCCATGACACTCTAGCAGAGGTAGAGTTTAGGACCACCACATCGACGCCCCGAGGTGGAGCACCAGGCACTGCAGAGGCAGTGTGGGGACACAGGACATGAGGTCATATCACACCTTCCTGGTGACCAAGGGGGAGGGAGGTTGAGGAAAGGCTGAGGTTGAAACAGGTTCAGGTTCAAAACAACGTTCCTTCTTTTTTCCCAGAAGGAGGAGGAAGGGAAGGGGGAAAGACAAGTGCATGATTGTCTGTCTCTATGACATCTATGGTGAAGACATAATAAAATCAACAAGATAAAAAAGAAGAATCCACAGAGCATGGAAAAAATAGCTTCCATTATAGTAAAATGCCACACTGCATGTGAAAAATGTTTAAGAAATGTGACAGAGGGAAAATTTTGTATTCAGGTGTTTGGTCAAAAGTGAAAGTTTGCTTTGTCACACAAGAAGGCTGGGGATTCTTTGGAGACGTACCGTCCTCCTGAGTGCGGATCAATAGTGGCAGGCTCTCTGGTCCTTGCCCTGTCTCGGTGTCGGCGGCAACTGTCACAGAATATAGAGTCCACTTCCTTAAGCCTTCAATCCGATAGCGGAAACAGTCAGCTGGGATGTTCGTTATGTGCTGCACCTGGTGTTTGTCATGTTCCGTGGCAGCGTAGCGGATGGAATAACCTGTTACGATCCCATTTTCCCCATCCGCAGGGGGCGGAAACCAGGTTACCAACAGGCTGTTGGGGGAAGGGCTTGTGCATGTCACTTCCTGGGGAGGGGGAATGGGTTCTGATTGGACGGATAGCAGGGTGGGCAGGGTTTAATTGTGTGTTTTGAGGCGTTTGGGGTTAGTTTTTTTTAAGAGTGAGAGCAAGATGATGTAAGGACATGAAATCAGATAAAAAAGACAAGAAACACAAAACAAACAATGAAAAAACGGACCACATGTAGGTATAATAATGACATGATGCTTGCACAGACATGTCAACCTGTATTTCAAAAAAAAAAGAAATTTAACAGAGAACACTGATAGTTTGTCAAGACTATCAATGGATTCATGTCTGTGCATAGTGAACATAAAGAGACAAAAACACATACATTTAACATTAAACCCACCTTAATCTCCCTCTCTCTCTCTTTTTCTCACTCCAGCTTTTCCAATTTATCTTTTCTCTATGTATTCTTTTTATTTTATACTCTAGCTGACTCACCACAATCAGCTGTTCTGTTATTGTGTGCCGTTTGCCTGGATCACTTCTATGTTTCTCTCAAACTTAGCACGTCGGACAGGAATGGGCATTAATAAGACAGAAGCCCCAGAAGCCACACACAAGATCCAAAACATTGCCTGGATACCTACCACAACCTGCAAATACCTTTCTCATATCAATATTCTGCTCTCTTCTGAGCCTTCGCATATGACTGTTGTGACTCACTAGCATTTATTGAACCACTAAAAGTGTGTCTTTTACAGAAAACATGGATAAAGATATAACTTCCAATAGGCCTGAATGTGTTCGTATCAGGTGTTATAACTCTGAGATGTTATTAAAACTGTCTGTCAGTAAATATGTCTTGACTTCAATTATTCAGTTTGCCAGTAGAGCCTACAGTGTAGTGAAAAAGTCTTGTCTTTTTTAACATAAGAGCTATGTGCATATATGAACCTATGCATCCACATTTCAATGAGATGATGTCACAAACTACAAACTAATAACCCAATTTTTTTCATTGAACTTTTTAGAAATGTCCATCAGAAGCACCACCACCTACATTCAGAATTTCTAAAAAGCTATACTAAAAAAAAGGCCCACTATTAATCATGTGTTTTGAGGTATTAGTGGCTATACATAAAGACAACGGCCTTATGAGTAATGAGGAAAGACCAATAAACCTGAAGCAAAAAGCCAAACAAATGATTCAGTGTATCAAATGCTTGGACATACATAAAATATATGGAATATTGACAAATACAGAAAAATCTGATATAATACTCTGCTGCTGATTTTCTGTTAAATGATTTGTATAATCTGCATGACAAATTTGATTCAAATAACACAAAAATGTATTTCTACATCTCCACAACAAGGGTAGCAAACGTTTGATCACACCACTTTTCTTTACTGTTTCTATGGTTTCTCCCCTGACACTGCCTTGTTACACAGCTTCTATAAAGATTTTAATAACATAGTAGTCCAACCTCAGTTAGGACAATAAAGATAGCAGTACCCTATTATCTATGCATATTTAATCCTTTTTCCCAGTTAGGCCAAAGTGATTGGTTCCTTTTTTTGAAGGGAAGAGCATCATATCATAGTATAGCCACCTTGTTGAGCATTATGGAGCATCCAATTCACACCTGAACCACTGAACTACCTCCTGCTCTGCTGACATCTCTGATAAAGATGAGCAACGTGCTCTGGTTTGATTATAATTTAAATAGATGGCAAAATCAGCAGGGTTCCTCAAAGTCCCAAGCAGACTGTCTCTGGGAGTAGTTAATAATAAAATTCCAATGATCTGTCCTCAAAGATCCATTTACCAAGACTAGGATGTCCCCCCAAATTTGACTTATGCACTGCCTGACAGACGCTCAAAGAACTATTCAAGAACCTCAGGTTAACATCGAGGGGTTTATACACAGCTGTCTGCAATCAATGTCAGTGTGGATGAGTCAACTGTCAGAAAGACAGGTCAGAAAGGAAGAGTGTGGATCTCAAAAAAGAAAAAAAAAAAACATAAATATGCAACAACAGCAGTCCTGTCACATTCATGAACTTTTAGCTGATGATTAATTGCCATGTAAATAATTGCAAATAACGTACTGCAGTTACATCAGTACAGGTCTAAAGTGGCCAAACTAGCTGAGTAGACATCTTTCTTTTTTAGCTAATGACAGAAATAGCTTGGGCACAAATAAACAAACATTACTCACCGCTGCCTTCAAAAGGTGTTACAGCACCAGTCAGAACACCTAGGCTGTTCATCAATAAATGCCCTTTCTGCTTTCTTTCCTTTACATGCATTTGCCTCAACTAATGAAAAACATTCACATTGTTTGTTGCAACAACAACATATGATTGTAAAAGGTAACAGCCGTGGTCTTCATAAATAACTGCGTTCAGCACTAATAATTGTGATCAGACAATTCTGTAATAATTGTGACAGGCCTAAACAACAGTTGGAGATCACCTAGTTGTAAAACAAGACCTCATCAACAGTGTGCTCTATGTAAGACACTAACAGTTATATGTGATACTTACATTAACCTTCATTACAAGAGACATTACAGTGACAACCCCAGTACTTACTTTGTCACCCTACAGATAACTGCTATGCGTACATTTTTAGTACACAAGTCCATTTTCAGTCGTTTTTTTTTTTGATTAGCTTACATTGACAGACTGAAAATTAGGTTCAAATATTCACATGACAAAATTTGTTCAAAAAAGTAAAAAAAAAAATTCCCACCACTATTACTATTTTATGTCCCCACTGGATATGCCTGCCTGTTGGCCAGCTTATTCTGTAGTTGAAACGCTGCCTTGCTGAATCAATAGTGTTGAGACTATAAGCACATGGTCAGTTCATGCCTGTACCTCTGTATGAGGCATGTGTGAGAGACACCTGTACATACGTGTTTGTGGAGTCTGTATAGTGATCTCGCCAGTGAAAGCCCCCACGCCATGTTTACTACGTGCTGCTAACTGGAAGGTGTAGGTGGAGAATGGCTTCAGATTCTTCAACAGGTAACTGGAGGTTGGATCAAAGGAGATTTTCTGCAGGAGAAAGAGATCAAGAGGCACTAATTACCATTAGTCTACCGACATGAGTGGGCAATTTAGGTTCTACTAAATTCTACCGAAAACTTTAATGAAAATCAACAGAGGCTCAACTTCATAATTAACATATGAACAGTGCCCTGAAAAAGGGCAAAAAGCCCTTTTGCCTCATATACTTTTTGCATAAAAATGGTCAGCAACAACAAAAAAGTACATTGGCTGAAATTAGCGTAGGGCTGGAGGCTCACTCTTTTAGGTCACAGCTCTGACGTAAAGAGGCTAAAAAAATCAGTAGCACAAAAATTACAGCAAGCAAGTATATCTGAAAACAGAATCCTGGATCTAGCAAACATGAACTAAGGTAGTTAGCCTAATTAGTAATAAAGTTGTGCTACATTCCTACTGAAACTATGCAACATTGTCATGCAGAGTCATGCAGTTGCACTACACAATGCAGTTTCTAAACGACAAGGGTACGCTGAGTGAAATTAAAAATCCTGTTTAATTTCACTCAGCGTACCCTTGTCGTTTAGAAACTGCATTGTGTAGTGCAACTGCATGACTGTGTTATTTCTGAAACAGATGCCACAGTGCTCACAAAGTAATGAGTAGCTTTAGATTGAACGACTGAAGGAGTTTCAATATGTGCTTCAACACTAGTTTGGAAAAGAAGATCAAATAGACAAGATCTACTTTAAAGACGCTTTAAAATGTAACTACTATATATTACTATATACATTAGGAAATAAAAGTTTGGTGATTTGCTTTTTTACCTCCTTTATAAAAAACATGGCAGTATGTACAGCAGTCCTGGTAAACTGTATGACATTCATTACAAAACTTTCCCTATTATATTCAGAGACAAACTCCTATAAATGCATACCTAGTGAGGCAAAAGAACAAAACAACAGGGGCAAAGGCTTATTATGCTTATTCAGTAAATTGCGGCAGTCACTTTTTAAGACCAAAAACGGGTTTGTAACAGTGCAAAACATTAGTAGATCTGCCCCCTGGACTCATCAATATAGTGAGGCTATTTGTTTGTACACGTGTGCTTATGTGAGACTACATGTGCTGTCATGCGCAGTAGTTGTACAGGGTACCTGTTCTGGTTGGTCTCCATGTCTGTATATGAGTTCATATCCAGTGATAGCATCACTGCCGCTGTGAGCTGGGGGAAGCCAGGAGAGCAGAACGCTCGTCTCTGACTTGACCTCCGCCTTCAGCTCAGTGGGTTGGGAAGGTACTGTGAAGTGCAGAAGGGCAGAGATAAGATTCTACATGCTGCAGGAAAGGTATTGTCAATAATAGAAACTGCATAATGCATTTAATGTCTCCAGATAAAGCTTGTAACAGCTTTGTCCATACATGTATACAAACCCATACATTCCTCTTAGGGAACCTTTTTTAATACATATGTCAGCAGACCATAAGCAATTTACCAAATGAACACATTCATTTTAACACAATTTTAAGTGAAATGTAACAATCTTAAATTAACATAAATTTGCCTGGTTCTGTACTTGGTTGTAAATTCTTTGCAATGACAGCTTAAAGTGATGCTTGATTCACCTTTGGCAATGTCTCTTACTGATTTATTCTGTTTTTGTCAGCCACATGATTGTTGTACCCTACTTGCACTGGCATTGACACTTCTTTGGTCCTCATGTTGAGGGTCAAGAGCAACGGATGCAATAAAGATGCTGCAAACCCACATGCAAAACTGAAAAACAAACCAAGCATTGCTCGAAAACCAAACTCAACCCCCCATCAAAAAAAACACACACACGCAAAAAGAAACAACAAAACAAAACACACAAAAAAAGTCCTCATAGGACGGCTACTGGCCACTGCCCACCCAAGTTTATAAAGAGCCTGGATCCAAACTGGGATAAATTAAGTAAATTATCTTGAGTTATTCCATTAAATCTGTACAAGCACAGTGTTTATCTGCGTTTTTCTGCAATGTTTCCTCTATGTTACAGCTGTGTTTTGCCTGCTGTGAAACGCAGAGCTTCTTATCTGGTGTGTGGTAGCTTAGATGGCTGCAGTGGTCTCTGCATTGTGTTAGATTGTTCTAACACTGAACAGCTTAAACAGTGCTAGTTCTTACATAAAAGAATGTATAAAATTAAAAAGAATCTAAACTGCTTAAGAAAAAACAAAAAAAAAAGCATTTTAGAGTGTCTCTCAGAAGCAAAGATGGGCAGAAGTTCACCAATCTGCAAAAAAACATCATCCAAAAATTGTGGAACAATTTCAGAAAAATGTTCCTCAACGTAAAACTGTGAAGACTTTGGATATCCCACCATCTACAGTACATAATATCATTAAAAGATTCAGAGAATCTGGAGAAATCCCTGTACGCAAAGGACAAGGCTGTCAATATTGGATGCTTGTGATCTTCTGGTCCTCAGGTGGCACTGCATTGAAAACAGGAATGATTCTGTGCTGGAAATCACTGCATGGGCTCAGGAACACTTCCAGAAATCACTGTCTGTGAACACAGTTCACTGTGCAATCCACAAATGCAAGTTAAAGCAGCATCAAGAAAAGGAGAAGCCATATGTCAACATGATTCAGAAACGCCACCGTCTTCTCTGGGCCAAAGCTCATTTGAAATAGACTGAGGCAAAATGGAAAACTGAAGAAGAGTCTGGGTGCTGAACTGGCCTGCCTGCAGTTCAGACCTTTCACCAATAGAAACATTTGGTGCATCATGAAACAAAAAATCCGGCAAAGAAGACCCAGGACTGTTGAACAGCTAGAATCATACATCAGACAAGAATGGGACAACATTCCTCCCAAAACTCCAGCAATTGGTCTCCTCACTTCCCAGACTTTTATAGACTGTTGTTAAAAGAAGAGAGAATGCTCCACAAAGGTACACATGGCCCTGTCCCAACTTTTTTGAGATGCGTTGCTGCCATCAAGTAAAATGTCTCACCTTCAACATCTGATATGTGTTCTATGTTCTATTGTGAATAAAATGTGTGTCTATGAGATTTGCAAATCATTGCATTCTGCAGCATCCCAACTTTTTTGGAACTGAGGTTGTATTTGCTCAGAAAAATACTATTATTTTTAAACAATACTATTACTGATTTTATGTTCATAAAATGTGTTAGTTTAACTCTTTCCAAACATCTCCTCTTGGCAGCCCAGTATTATTTGTAGGTTATCATCCAAAATTGGGTTTGAGTAATCAGTGCTTTAATAAGTTAAGTGATAGCATTTAACAAATCTATGAAATATATTCCAAAGCCTTCTATTTACATTTTGCAATATACTGGCCACTATATTCCATTTCTCTGGAAGGACACAGTAAAAACAGAAAAATTGTGTCACTGTCCTGTTATTTACACATTGACTTACATCCTGGAACTGCCGTACAAGTAGGTTTTTTTGCAACAAAGGTCAAGACATTATGAGAACTGAAATGCCAAAGCAAGAATGGAGAAAAATCAGGCAGAGGATTATCTTCACACACACACCCAGACCCACCTCCTGTTTTGGCAATGATATGCAGATCACTGGAGAGAGGCCCATCTCCCACAGCAGTAAAAGCCAGCACTCTGATGTAATAGGTCTTGTTTGGCGTCAGATCCTGTATGCTTAAGTAATTTGCTCCCCGCACCATCTCCTTCTCCCACTGGCTAACAGGCAGTGATGAATCTGACGTGTAATACACCCTGTAGCCAACCACCTGTCCATTTGGCTCCTCTGGTTCCTCCCACTGTACCATCGCTGTTGAGGCGCTAACCATGCGACCCCTGACCCTGCGTGGTGGCGAGCTTGGGGCTTGCTCAGCCGTCCGAGCCTCCACCGTCGGGCTGGGGGGTCCGCGCCCAATCGAATTCACCGCCATCACCCGGAATTGATAATGTGAGTAGGGGCTGAGCCCTCCAACACTGTATCGAGTTGTTGCCACGGCGTCGATCTCTTTGAATGGGTCGCGGGAGGAGGTGGGGCGGTGCTGGATGATGTAATAAGAAACAGGAAGTGGGTTTCCACTGTCCCACATCAGAGTTATACTGGTGGCTGAGCGCTCCATTACAACTGGAGCTCCCGGGGGGTTTGGGAGAGCTGGAAGGAGGAGAGAGGTCCAGAGGTAGAGAGACAGAAAGAGAGATGATATATGTTGCTATATGATATGTTTAAACACAGTGTTTTTTAAGTCTCTTGTAAATATGGTAAGTAAATTCTGTATATTTTATAGAAAATTTTATAATATATGTAAAGTACCCTCCAAAGGTCAGAGACCACCCTTTAATTTTCAGTCAAGACAGCATTTAAGTAAAAGGTATTCATTTTTCAGTGTCAGGAAAAAGACAGAAACTATATATGTAAAAGAAATTTACACAGAAGCCTTAACAACTCAATATATCACATTTTCCATATTTAGCATGTCCCATCATTTGCCTTCATTACAGATTCCATTCCTTTCCAAAGACTTGTTTTTCCTGTAAACAACTCTGAAGTTCAGTCTTGTCATGATCCAAGTAATCTCAAACACATTCAGTGATGCTTAGGTCTGGGAAAGTTCTGAGAACACCAGCAGCTTCTTTGAAATTGCAATTTTCTTTTATCAGCAGTAGTTTATTATATTATTATTATTATACACATGCTTTCAGACAGAGAGTGATCATCTCACAGATCTGAAGCAAGAGTGGAGCTAGATTTTCTCCTCTCTCTCAAAGATGAAAGCTTTGAGTACTGTTTGTCTGATGGTTTTGCATGGTTGCAAGGAGTTCCATATTCTTTAGATTTTTTAATATCAAAAAAACATTTTTTTGACTTAGTTTTGACCCGATTTATTTTCCCCTTTCTTATGCAATTAGATTATCCTCAGAAATATCTCTTGAAAAATTCCTTGGGTTTGATCTCTGTCTTTTGCAGAGCACTGTACGACATTTCCACTGTTGTGTTGTTGCTTCTGTAACTCTGCAATTTCCTTGGGATTACTCCATTTACTATGTTAACTTTTTACATTTTAAACTAACTGTTTAGTGTTTTAATTCTTAATTTTAACCCCTTGAACGCTAAGTACAAAAAGACGTATCAGTATATAAGTACACATTGCTCATATCACACACATCAATCTGAATTACCTTTGACGGTGATCTGTGCAACAGTTTCAATAACCCCAAGCGTGGACATGGCCACGCAGGTGTAGTTGGCTGACTGACGGACATCTGTGAGCTCCAGGACATTCTTTCCAATGGGCATGTCATCCTCTGGGGTCAAGTCTTCAGTTCCTAGCATCCACTTCACATAAGGCATGGGTACACCTACTGCCTGGCACGTGATGTTCACCCCTCCCCCTGGCATGATTTCATAATCCATAGGTGGAACTGAGAAGCGGGGAGGGACCCGCCGCACTGCCAAAGCAACAGAAGATTAATCATTATCTCCACCAACAGAAGTGCTGGTTATTGTACTAACATTAAATTAAATCCCATTTGGTCACATCAGACATGATCAAAGGGAAACAGCGACTGATTAGAAATTGAGGGAGGGTTTATGGGCTGTGTGTTTAAACAAAATATATATATATATATATATTATTAAATGTCTGTGATTGAGTTTGGCAGAGTGGATAGAGCACTTACCATCCCTCAGCTCTGAAGAGAAGGAAAAAAAGTGGAATAAGAGAAAAAAGATAACATCAAGGGGAAGAGAAAAACAAGACAGATTAGAAGGCACTACATCTACAGGTGAGAAGAAAAACAAAAAAACAGGATAACTATAGAGACGCTACTGTTGCTACTGTTGTTATGTGCTATTGCTCTGCATACAGGTTGCTCTTGGACGCACCTCTGACGTAGAGATTGGCAGGTGTTGAGTAGCGCGTTCCATGGCTGTTTGTGGCAACGCATTCATATTTCCCTTGATCAGTTTCCTCACTGCGATCAATCTGTAGTGCACCTGAACACACAAACATACACAAACACATAGGAGAAAACTTTCTTTCAAAATACATTAAATGGCATGATCAACAATATTTCAGCCTGGACTATTGGGTGTAGCTGTGTGTGTGCATGTGTGTGTGCATGTGTGTGTGTGTGTGTGTGTGTGTGTGTGTGTTCGCCCTGCTCCTTACACATCTTTCTGCCTCATACTGGCATGAACACAGGTGAGACTGGCCAGACGAATCAATAGAACATCAATGCAACAGAATGGGAAAATGTGTTTTGCAGCTCCATTAGAGCTCTCTAAGGGAATTCATCTTTAGTGCACCTTCACAATTGACAACTCAGCAAGACCGACCCAACAAAAGCCTTGCTTTCAAAATAAGAAAAGGAAAATGCCAATGAAAAGTACTGGCATTTAAAAAAGGGTATTAAAAAGAAATCGTTTAAAACAGAGTCAGCTCTTTCCACTGGTTGACTCACAGAGGCCAGAGAATAAGAAAAAGTTATTGAAAAAAAAAGATAATCTTGGTCAGAAAAAAGGCACAAACTGAGAGAAAAAACTGTCATGAAGGATCGCAGGCGTCAGACATATGTACACCGTCCTAAGTTAAAGACTCAAAAAGATGCTTCATTAGACAATGTCCAAGACGGAACTTGCTGAAAGATGAAATGTGGTTTCATTAGAGAACAAAAGAGATGGGACAGATCCACAGAGAGATCAGGAGAGTGGCAAAAACAGATAAAAAGAAGAAGAAAGCAGTCTTGTGAGCTAACTGTGAAAGCTTAATTCATTTATTAATCTATTAAACATAGTCATTTAATAACATGAGCAAGCAGACCAAACTAAACTGTTAAAACAGACTAAAGGAACTGAATTTAGTGAACTAGATACTTACTAGTTAACTTTCAAAATCATTATTTCTTTTATGACTTCATGGTTTTCTTTCAGCTACTACAACAAACTAAAATAGTAAATTGAGCTTTCCATTAGTCAAAAAAAAACCCCAAATTAAATAATTATTAAAAAAAAACACCTTTGCAAACAAACACATCATGTTAACAAATCTTCAACTACAAGAAGAAAGTAGATTTAAATAAATAAATATAATCCTTAGAAATAACAGGGTTAATCATTGGAAAATACATGTGATGAGCAGATGATGAGGAGAGAAAAAGGCAAGGAAAAGAGAAGGAAAAAAAGAAAGAGAGAGTGCACAAATAGTGATGGGTGGGTTGAATGGCATGGTTAGCTTTAGACTCTTACCTCTGATTGGCGTACCCCCTGGATGGGTGAGAATGAAAGCAGATGAGAGATTAAAGAAAAGAGTTAGTGCAGTGAGAGAGAGAGAGAGAGAGAGAGAGAGAGAGAGAGAGAGAGAGAGAGAGACTGATAAACATAGAGAAAGGCAAAGATAGAGAAAGAAAGAGAAAGGGCATGTAACTCTCTATGTCTTAAGTGCTAAATGGGTCTGTTTTAGTTAGCATTACTCTTCCAGTTCCATATGAGGTTGTTTAACAGAACCAAAGGAAAAGAAACCATAAGAACATTCTCTTGAGAATTGCGGCAGTATTAACACTCAAGACAGGCAGATTCACATCCATAGAGAGGGAGGGGAAACAAGGAAGCCAAAGGTTTTGGGAGAGAATCCACTGGAACATTAGGCATTAGAAGAATAGTTAAAAAACTCATCAGACTGCATATAAAGAGCAAGAGAAAGAGTATAAAAAGAAAAAAAAACAGAGAGAGAGAGTACAAGAACAAGAGAGAAAGAGACAGTGAGAGAGTGAGGATAACACTGAATTCACACTAGACACCACACATCAGCTTCCCGTAAGCATAGATTATATGAAGCATGAGCGACTGAGTATCTATTTCACTTCGCCTCTAACTCACCCATGTCCTGTTAACACTTCAGGTGGGAATATCAGCTCTTTATCCTCCATTTCTTTTTCTAATTAAAGCAGTCTTATAGAAATATTAAAACCTTACAGTACAAACAGCAGATCTGTTCAGCAACATTCCGACATAGGAGCTGCTTGGCAATTACTAGGCCAACAAGAATATCACATTTTAGTAAATCATTATTTAAATAAATTTCAGAAAGTAATAAAAAATGGAAGTGTGTGATATGACTGGATCTCTATGGAGTTTTTGCATCACTCACAAATGGAAAAAAACATAGCATCATGTGTGTAAAACCGTGTCAGTTTGGACAGGCTTGTGTTTTGATGGACATAGGACACAAGTCTAGCGCAGCCAGCGTGGACTGAAACACCAATTACAATTATTTTTAGCTCAGATCTGAAAAGGCAGCCTCTGTTTCATCCAGCATGAAAACCACTAACGTCTCTCTGCTTTATAATATACTATAAGAAAATACTATAAGAAACGTGTCCGGTGTGAATTGGCCATAAGACTAAGAGAGACCCAGCAAAAGAGAAAGAGAGAGTAAGAGAGAGCAAGAGATAGACAGTATAAGAATCAAAATATAAGAGGGAGAGAGTATAAGAGAGCTAGAGAGAGACAGAAAGAGCAGAAATGTAGATACTCCGATGGCAAGGGGCACTGAGTGATCGAGACAGTGGGAGAGTGAGCTACTGAGTGAGGAAGTGAGAGGGGAGCGAGAGAGACTGAGTGAAAGTGACACAGGTTAATTTTCACATGTTAAAGGGGCAGCACTTGGTGAAGATGACTACCTCTACATGAGTGGGGTGCATATTATACAGCGTGTGGATTTTTTTGTATGACAGTGTAGTGTGAGGCAGTTTTTCGTTAGGTGACATACTGTGTTCCATGCAGTTCACTAAGACTGAAATTTTATTGTGCTTGTGGTTGTGATATGGGTGTGTGTGTGGCAGCTTGCATGTGTAAGAGTGTGCTGTGCCTCAGTGTAACAGACTTACCAAAGGACTCTGTAGATCAAAACATAGAAAAAGAGACAGCACATGGATCACTTATCATTCTTTCACCTGTATGAGACTGTTTATGTGTGCGTTTGTTGGCACTGTAAGGTTAAAACAAAACAACAAACAGCAAAGGATATTCATTCAGTATTTCTGAACACATATGTGAACACGCACAAGGACCCACCTGAGCGCAGCTGTTTGATACGCCCATGAGCATGCGTGTCGATCGGAAGAAAGTCTTTAAACCATGTGATCTCTGGGTCTGGGGTGCCACTGGCCGCACACAGCATGGTAGCCGTGCGAGAGCGCTCCACTACCTTCAGCTGAGGGCCCATATCTATGGAGGGGAAGCCAGTAGGAAGCTGGTCTTCTGCAATGCACACAAACACCCACACTTTATACATGTTACACATGTTTTGCATTTATGTTTAACCATTTTAGGAAGAGGTAGCCCAGGTAGCATGTTCAGGACACACTGTGCTTAAACTTCAATAACTTCACAGTTGTTTGAGATACCAACAATTATACAACAGTTAGTTCCGGCCACGCAAGCTGACTGGTTGAGAAGCGTTCTAACTGTGCTGTTATTTCACCATAACATTGTTTTTTTCACAAACACTGTATGACTCCGCTGAGGCGCTGTTGCTAAGCAACGACTTTGACAGCTGTAGGAGACGCTCAAGCCATTTGAACGTCTTCTTACTTTCTGCACAAACAGAAAATGGATACTGGATAAGATCACATTTGACCTACAGCTGATTTGATCAGACTCTGAAGATGAGACTACACTAAATTCCCAAACCGTCATCATCACTGAGCAAGCTTTTCAGTCGGCAGCTGTGACAGAAGAACACCTTAACAACCTGGAATCAGCCAGAAATGAACCGAATACCATTTGCCAAACAAAATGGGCTGTAAAATGCTTTACAGTCTGGCTGGAACAAACAACATTAATACTGATCTAGCACTGTGAGACTACACGTTTGGCGAATGGTATTTGGTTAACCTCTGGCTAATTCCAGGTTGTTTAGGTGTTCTTCTGTCACAGCTGCCTACTGAAGAGCTTGCTCAGTGGTAATGACAGTTTCAGAATTTAGTGTAAGGAGCTGGGGAATGAACTGCCGTCTCTGCAGTGAGTGAGCGGAGCTTGTTACTCTGATGTAGCAACAAACTGCTTACTAAGGAACTATAATTTGGCAGAAGGAATTGCTAACATTAAAACATATTAAATGCCACGTTCACGGCCCAGTTTATTTATTTCTTACTTTATTTAACTGTTGTATAAAAGCAATAGAACACTCAAGGTCGTGTGTTATCACCAATAACATCACGGCTGTGATGATCTACGTTACTCGTCTTCGGCTCGTGCCTGCGACCAAATCACAGCCGTGATGTTGTTTCACGATAACACACTCCCTCTCGTGGTCTATTGATTAAACGTCAGATTCCACCTTGAACTAGGGAAATGGAGTATTTCCCACTGAAATCTCTGGATATATAAAAAAAATCTGCAGAGTCACCTACACTGCTTGTTAGTATACTGGTCAGACATTTTTTTCTACACGTTTTTGTTTTGTCATGATGTCATGGTGCAGGTGTCAGCATAAAATGGAGACATATTATACACAAAAATATAACAAACAGTACACAATCTGCCAATAATAATGATGTGTAATGGGAGTTAAGCACAGTTACAACTGAGTAAAAAAGTACATATATACAATATGTAAAGCTAAAATAGCAAGCAGCAAATATAAATGTAAATATATTTATACAACATGTATATTTGCAATAGGTTAAGGTGCATATGTGCAAAGACTACAGTAAAGGAAAGTGGGAAAGATTCTTATTCAGAGGGATTATGGCATGATATATACAGCAGAGGGATGTGAGAAGGGTCCTTATGTAGGAGGATTATGGCCTGGAGAAGAAGCTGTGGAGGTGGCGGTTGTTCCCAGTCTTTAGTCACTCTGAGATCTCACTCTGAGACGGAAACCAAAGGAAGAGGAGTGTGACTGGTCAGCCCTGATTTTCTTGGATAAGTAAAGATCTTTGAGGGTGGAGAGCCAACAGCTAATGATTTTCTTTGCACAATGATTTTCTCGCACAGTTCGCTGTAGCTGACAATTGGTGAGCAAAGATGCAGAGCCGAACAAGACAAAGGGGACAGCTGTACCAGCAGTGCTTGAGACAGCCACAGGAACTTCTGAACGTCTTCAAAACGTTTTACTTTAGACTTTTAAAAGACAAGATTTTCTTAAAATTGCTGCTGAAAATCTACCAAGAGCAGGAGTGAGGAGGCTGAAGGCCCCTGAGAATTGTGAAGAGTGTGACGTGGCGTTGTAAAGTTATAGCAGTACATCTCACCAGTAAGAGCTTAAACTGAAAACGCCTCCGATAATGCTGCCACAGATCTGTACATATAGACAGTACAGTCATCAAGTGGCCTTTAAACTTCACAAACATGTTCACTGTTAGAAATATCCATTCAAATTGTTTCATCTGTATGTTTTTGTTGTTGTTTTCAGAAAAAAGTGAAAAAAAATGTTTCCGGTTTTGTATTTTTTCGCCTTTGCATTCTATTTTCATCTTCATATAACATGATGGTATGACTGAATATCTGAGTTTGTGCTGAAATAAATGATACAGGACACTTATTGTACTGTATATTGTACTGTACAGTTTAAAATAACAAGATATGTCCAGCTAAAGCTCTAAAGCAAACTACTGCTCTCCTTCCCCACCTCAGCATTATATCTAAATAAATTAACGGTCAATTCATTGACTGGAAGGGTTGGAGTTTAATAGCCTTTAGCTATGGCATGGTATAGAAGTGAAATGGTGCCACCAAGCATTATCCAAAAGTTCAAATGTGGCAGTTAATTCTAGTACAATAAAAGCATAAACATTGTAACACATTAGCCTATGTGAATGGGTCTCAGTTAACCTACACCTTTCATCTAAAGAAGATACAGCTCATGTACACGGAAACAGAACACAGTTACTGTCATTCGTTCTAAAGTAATGTCTGTTCTTTCTACACATAAAATTTTATTTTTTGAAGCAATCAGTATATATTCATAGCTCCCAGTGAAAAAAATAAGGATGGCCTCTTTAGCCAAATTGTTTATGCCACAGCAGAAGACACTGTCAAAGCTCTTGTTCATATTTTCTGTGATGTGAGAGATCCCTGCTTGAGGAATCAGGAGTGTGTGCTGAAAGGTCATGAGGGGGTGGGGTTAAATCTTGGGAGTTGTTAGGCCTGGGGCGCCGCTTAGGTTTTATATTTATGTGTTTATAGTTATTCTTGGAGTGTGTAATGACAGACATCCTTGAATGTATAGATTTATCCCCTGATTTTCCATAAACAAATATCTCTTCTTCAGGAACTTATATTATATATTATATATATTATATACATTAATAAAAGCTTAAAATTTTCACTTCAAACAGAATTTCTCCACTTCTTTAAATGAGCTACAAGTGAAAAATAATAAATGTCAAAATACAACATGCTTGGGTAATGCAACTTACAAGGGTTAAACAGGGTGTTTAGTGGGGAGAGAGAAAGGCTTAACAGGGAATCATACGCTGGAATGTTTTTATGCACAGTTGACTATGAGGAGGATTAATCTGAGAACGTTTCCCTGCACATTTCTGCCTTACTAGTCTGTCTTATTCAGCCTGCCCATAACATCTTCATCACACATGGCTTCAGTCACATTAAGGACTCAGATCACTGGTTAGCTCAAATAAAGTTGATCAGTTCTGACAGGTCCGCTCTTGTGATGTGGGGACACACAAACATAAAATACACTGGAGTGAGATTTCCCAAAAGCACTGCAACACTATGATCATCATAAAATGACAGATTACTATCTGAGTACTTTCTCTAACAGCGAATAAAGATGATCTGTATGCCTGCTTTGTGGCAACTGTCTATCATATAAAGCACTAAACAAATAAATCAGCACTGATTATTAAATATTTAACATTTTATTTAACAATTATAGATTAAACTTTACCTTCTCAAGTAATTAACAATCATTAGTTTGATCAATCTGCATGATGACAAAGCATATTTTGAATTCTCCTACTGCTCTCTCTTATAGTAAGAAACAGAGCCTGGTTAGCACATCGCTTTATATGCTACATAGGTTTTTTATATATTTTTTTTAATTCCTTTCAAAGCCTTCATAGTCTGCTAAAGGCTCTGCATGGTTTGTTACTGTTAAGTCTGATTACTCAATTACTTGCAAATTTCTCAACATACAGGTTATATAATGGATTGTGACAGTTCTAATTGAATTTCGTCTTAAGGCCATGATTCTTATGGGTTACACCCTGCTAAAAAGATTTATGAACTTCTCCACTTCAGTGGAAAAGTCTGAGCTGAAAATTGCATGGTAAGATGACAGTATAAATAAGAGATAAATTAAGCAGTGTGTGCTGCTCACCACGGAGGACAGTGAGGCGGGTAGAAGCACTGATCTCTCCAGCCTCATTAGACGCCACGCACTCGTAGACTGCCTCATCACGAGGAGTCCGCAGGGGCTGGACCCGTAACACTGAGCCAGAGCCGTCCTCAAACTCAATCACCTGCCGAACGAGAGAGAAAAAGAGAGAGAGACAAAGAAGAGATGCTGTATGCTAAGAAAAAAGGAAAACGAGGAACAAGGAGAAAGAGCTAGCCAAAGTGAATGAGGGAGATAAGCAGGGAGAGACAGAGAGTGAAAGGGAGGTGAGAGACAGAGATAGAAAGAAAGAGGGGGAGAGAGAAAGAGAGGAAGATACAGAGAAACAGAAAGGAATGGATAAAGAGAGAGAGAGCAAGACAGAAGTAATAGCAGGACAGAGATACTGTTTATATGTGTGGGAGAGAGAGGCGCTTTATAGCAAATCTAACACAGCCAATCCATATGTCTATAAGGGAGTGCAAATTCAGGCTTCTAACTGTCTAGCAAATGTTGTATGAGACATAAATTAATAACACAATTCTCACAGTTCTTCAATCATGCATGGCCTGTGTTTTTTTGACCAAAATGATCATCCACAACTGTGACTGGTCAAGATGTGCGCAGCACACAGTAAACAGCATTGTGACTGGATAGGCGGCTACACTGTGGCTGGTTTCAAGGCATTTGCGTAATGCAGTTTTCTGTAATATCAATATTGCAAAGACCAATATAACAATAATGAGTTCCAAACAATATATTGCAGCTGCAGTGTGTGTGTTTACCTCAAATCTCTGGTTGGTGACTTTTTTTCCTTTCCTACTCCATGAGATTCTGGGCTGAGGGTCTCCTGTTGCCTGGCACACAAAGGAGGCCACACCTCCCTGCACACCCGTTTGATCAGTGGGTGTCCGAGTGAAACGAGGAGGAGCTGAGACAGAGAGAGAGAGAGAGACAAAGACAGAGAGAGAGAGAGAGGGGTTGGCCTGTCACAATTATGAAATTTTATGATGTAGGATGATGATATGCCATATTATTCATTGAGATGTCTTTTTTGAGATGTCTTTTTTTGAGCACAAGCCTTAAGTGGCCAAACTACCTGATTAGCAGTCTTGCTACGTATCTGTCGATACTTAGTAGCTTTCAACTGACGACAGACACAGCTTAAGCTCGAATAAACAAAAAAACAAAACGGTAATTTCTATTTTTATTGTTTTGTTCATCATTTAAACATGAATGGTGGCTGGTATTTTCAAATTACAATAATTATCAAGAAATGATTATAAAAGCACAAAATAATTGCAATCAGGCGGACAGGCCTAAGAGTAGTACGAATTAGTACAGCATTAATTTGTTATAGTTTGTTTGTTTGTCATATCCATGACCAGAGCACATGGTATGATTACACTTCTGGTAGACCTGAGGAGCTGAGCAGTGGGCATAAACTCAGAGTTCTTCTGATCCCAAATTCAGACTAAGCATCAGTGAACTATTCAATAATGCCGGGTATGACATAATTCTTTCAACTGCCAGTATGTCTGCAAGAATGTTCATTTGTTATGACCCTGTTGTAATTTATGCTGAGCAAATTTTTTTATTAGGAATTATTATACTTTTGTAACTGCCGGCCTTCTAAGGGTTAACATCAATGCAACATTAATGTTTCGGATAAGTACTCATGCAGAAAATATATGAAGTCCACTTTATCCAGTAAGTGGTTCTCAAGCGGATTCCCTCACTATCTAACCAGCGCATTAATCCAGTCAGTGGATCAGGCCATGACGCAGTGGACACTTACACTAATCTGCTTTCTGTTCCACTGACCAAGAGCAAAAGTCAATGGTGTGTCGAAGCAATGGGTTTTAGTTTGTGCTCGTAGGACAGTATTTCGCATGTGTGTGGTCACCTCATACGACTTAAGATGAAAGGGCGATATCCTCTTTACATGCTTTAATTTTGCATACCAATCTTAATCCTGAAAAACGCCCACGCAGACCAGCATACGCATGCATACACGGAAAATTGTGTGTGAGCAGTATGAATATTATGATTAAAGATGTGCAGTACGGTTCAAAGGGGAAAAAATCCCCAATAACTGTATTCATCTAGTGCCGTCACTGTATATTCATCCCACAACCACAACAACTAAATCTGGGCCTACACTAAACAATCTTTAAAATCCTAGAAGATTTCAAAAACAGAGAGCGTCAGAGCGCAACACAGAGCTTTAATACAATGTCCTGTTATGTTGTTGTGAGGATCCAGACAAGACCAGGGGTGAGCAACTCCAATATTAAGAAGAAAAAAAATCAAACCTCCTTGGGAGCCACAACATTTTATGTCCATTTTACCATCTTGGCTGTAAGTATGTCTAAATGTCTATGTGCTAATGTACTAGTACAGGCTAAAAATATAAACAAAAATGCTGACTTTCTTTGCTATACTTTAAGCTTTACCTCAGCTATAGCCTCTTTTTTTTGCATCTCTGACAGGAAATATTTCCTCAAAAGTGAAATAATTTCTTGGAAAATGTCTCTCGAAGTTTGACACTTCACGAGGTTGAAGTCGCTTCTCATTCACCAGCTTCTTGTTCCAATTTTTCCGTTCCACCTTTAATAGAGCCTGAGGTGCCAGAATGTAACTGCTGCAACATTTAAGGTAGAATTCGAACAAGAAGCTGACTTCAGCTTTGCGACTTTTTAGTGTTTGACAGTTTCTTTTTGCAGATTAAACATATCGGGAAACCAGTTGAGTGCTTCTAAATGCAAGTCCATTTGTCTCCAAATTATCCATGTTCGTCTTTCTCTTTGCCTTATCGTTAGCTACTAGCTAAGCAAGACTGTTGTCTGCATTGAGGTGGCCAGCAGCCTGCACGCCAACCATCAGGGTTAAAGGGTGAATTAGCAGTTATGGGCTACATTAATTCCAGCATTTAAGACTGTTTACTGTTAAAACTGTGCAGAGCTTTATTTTACTGCAAAGGAGGATCTAATTCTGCTGTGGTGCCGCAACAGGGCAGTAAAAGAGTCACGTGTTGCCAACCCCTGGACTAGACAATAACGTAAAAAGAGGGTGCAACATATATGATGAATTTCAGCTACAAAATAGCTGAAAAATACCAAATCCCAGATCTCCCCTGTCATCACGTGATACAAACAAAGCAAAACTGGACTGGATCTGCTTTTGATTTTATGCAGAAGCAAGAGAAAGAAGCACAAAAGAAGCATAGAGAAAACACAAAGTGGAGATGAATCTAGGACTGAAATGCAGATATCACAGTCTCTATCACAGAGATGGAGAAATATTTTATTATGAACTGGTTGCTGACTTGAAATTCTATAGATAGACATTATTAAAGGTGAACTCAATAAGCACCTCTTCTGCCTTTGGCCTGCTGCTCACATGGCAAAGTGCATGCATGTCTCTCTTTGCGTTTTTCTCCTCCCTGCTCGCACTCTTATTGGCTATTGCGTGAATCACTTGTTCAGCTACAGTGCTGACCATCTCAAACATGTTTGAAAATCTTGGAGGCCCTCTGATTACTTCAGAACTTGATAAAATGACTAAAGGATGACTTCTTTTTCTCACAGTACCGGATTGTCCACCATGCCAGTTGCTTCCAATATATAATGTTACTGTACAACTATTTTCATTTGTGAATAAACTCAATAAAATAATCAATAATCACAAAACAATAAATACTCACAAATTTTAACTAGAAAATGCTTATTATTTTTAGATATCTCTCAGGCCTAGTGCAATACTGAGGTATGATACTGTAGTGTGTGGAACAGTGCTTAGGAGAGCTGACTTGTGCCAGAGGAGCAGCATCTAGCTCTAGTCTTCTAGCTCTAGTCACAGTAGGTTTTAATTACAGAACTTTTTCGTCCTTTAAAAAAAAGTTTTCCTTCAAACTGTAATATTAGTATGGGCTTGTTTTTTTAACTGCAGTATGCTGGTCAATAACTGGCAATAAAAGATGTGAAACTCAAGCATGGTGTTTTAATAACCAGCAAGAGCTTCACCTTCAGGATGTTTGCAGGAATAAGCATTCAAATTCATACAAACTTCTTCACGTCCTAGTAACCAATAGCAGATGTGTTTTTTATTGTTTTCAGTTTAAGGAACTATTAACACTATTCTTATTTATTTCTATAGAACATTAATAGAGCAAATTATTCTTTGGCCAAGTATAAAATGTTAAGCATTCAGCTGCTCATGAATTCTTTTGATATAAATTAACTGAAAATAAATGAACCCCAAATCAATCACAAGTGCACTTCTTACAAATAAATGTAAAACAATATAAACTTCACTGCATTTTTAAAAATAATGTTGTTCTCTGGATGTTCATACACAAGTATGTTAGTTTGCATGTGTGTGTGCTTGGCTGGAAGAAACCCCTGTAGGGGCAGAATATGGGTTGATTCTGGTAGATACAATAGCAATATATGTTTGCAACATAAGCTTTTTTCAGTGATAGACTACAAAAGACAGGAAATACTTACTGCGCAAAAAAAAAAAAACATGTAATAAGTCAATGTTAATGAAACAGTCTGAACTGTTCAATGCTTCCTTATCTTGAGCCTGCAGTGCTTTGTGAGTAGGTGTTCTCTAAAAGCTGTGCTTAGACCTAGATTATTAGTAATATCTGAACAGCCTACAATTATTCTTCTGAAACTGAAAGGAACATTATACTCAAAGTGTGTGTGGGTATAGTTGTGGGTGTGTGTACATGTGTGAGAGACAGAGAGAAAGAGAGAGACTCACTCTGAGTGTGTGAGAGCTGCAGTGCACTCAGTAGAATCAGCAGAACCAGCTGGATGTGGGCTTTGTAGATCATGTGACTTCTGGCCATCCTCTCATTGGCTTGTCCGTGACTACGAATCACCAAGCTCCACGGGCGCTCATAACCTAATAAAGATGAAACACGTTCACATATTAAGCCATCCATACGGTACAAGAATTTTAAAAGGCTAAAGTGCCCTGCAATTTAACAACTTTCAATAAATCTCCTGTCTTTCCATCTTGAAAGTGTGCACATTAGTGAATTTTAAGCTAAAGGTTAAAAGCTAAAGGCCTGAGGATTTCTTTGAAAACAACGTCACAGCAAAATCATGTAGTGTACAACGAGCATCAGTAAAATAAGCTACGCTTGCATTTTAAAGCAAACATCCCACTGGATTGTTATTGAACAGATGGCGCAATGCTTGTTATAATCATGAACAATTCACAAAGTCAAGCTTCTCTTAGTATTAGACCTCAGGCGGTGTGGCGCATTACATTTTTCATCATTTATTTATGAAAAATAAGCATTGTTCCACAGACTTAAACCATCAGACAAGTCGATCCAGAGCACTGTATGCACAGAAAACTGTGTGTGTGGGTATGTGTGTGTGAATGATGCATCATGTAGGGCAGGAGACTGGTCTCACTAGCGGGGGTGAGATCACATACTGAGCATGAGAGTCAGCAAACATTTAAATCAAGTGCTAAAAGTCTGCCATCTGAGGACTGTGTTAAAGAATGTTTTCACCCAAAAAGGCTAACATGATGCCAACAATGAATGAAAGCCAGCAGGGATCAGTTATCATTACATATCATTATAAATATTTTCATTCTTTATTGTAAAATGATTAGCCACTTTATTTTTTCAGGAAATATTTCTGAGAAGATGAGATACAACACAATCCACATCCACAAGAAAGGGCAAAGTCAAAAGAAGAATGAGTGGAAAAACACAAGTTTCCAAAACTAGAATTCAAAAAATGATTAAAATACAGCCCAGTTTCCAAAAACGTTGGACACTGTGCAAAATGTAAATGAAAATAGGACGCAATGATGTGCAAATCATTTAAACCCTATGGTTACTTGAAAATACTACAAAGACAACAAATCAAATGTTGAAACTGAGAAATGTTACTGTTATTAGAAAAATATATGCCAATTTTGAATTTGATGCCAACAACAAAAAAAAGTTGGGACAGAGGCATGTTTACCACTGTGTTTCATCACCTCTTCTTTTTAAGAAGACCAACTGCTGTAGTTCTGAAAGTAAAATGTTTTCCCATTCTTGCTTAACATAGGATTTCAGCTGCTCAACAGTTTGGAGTCTCCTTTGTTGTATTTTTCATAATCCGCCAAATGTTTTCAGTGGTGACAGGTCTGGACGGCAGGCAGGCCAGTTTAGCACCTGGACTCTTTAATTTGAAGCAATCCTGCTGTAACACATGCAGAATGTGGTTTGACAGTGTCTTGCTGAAATAAGTAAGGCCTCCTAACCTCTGAATTGCAGCATATGCTGCCAAAGCATGTACACATCAGTCAGCATTAATGGTGCCTTCACAGATGTGCAAGTCCATGTGCACTAATACACCCCTACTACTGCTGGCCTTTGAACTGTGTGATTAACAAGCAGACTGGTCTTCAGCACAGAAGACGCAGAGTCCATGGCTTCCAAAGAGAATTCAAATTTTTATTTGTCAGACCACGGGATGAGAAGGCAAAACAGCATTGCTGGAAAATCGATGATTTTTCAAAATAATTATATTCAAGAAACCCTTTTTTCATTGTTCACCACAATAGCTTTTTTGAGAGGGTCTATGCAACACACATTTAAGGTAATGCAGTAAAATCTGCAGTTTTGATCTTTCCTTACTAGAGATGTTGCAACAAAATTGCAAAAACAGTGAAACCACGTTTCCTAGGACTATAACCGAACCATCAAAACATCATACTGCGACAGTGCTCATTAGTGGTCGGTGCCATTTGAAAATCTGTCTTACAGAGCTGTGACTAAATATGACTCTCATGATGGAGTGATGTGGCTAATCACACTCATTTCCTATGGGAAAATGAGCAGATCTCTACCACAATGTGCAGATGGTAAAGTTTACCCTTGAGGTACATTTATCTACCCTATACATGAGCTGACCTTGACACAAATGGTCCTAACATTGAGATGCTCAAAAGTCTTTGCACATAAGTCAGATCAGAAGTGAAGCTGACTTCAGTAGGATAGACTTTCAGGAGAATGGCTGCAGTCTTGGTTCAGCTGGTATTGATTCAAAAGCCCCTAATTGATAGGAGTCTCAACTGCACTTAATATACAGGAGCTATGATCTCAAATGGAAGGAAGCTGTGTGGATGTCCGATCTGACAGCTTCATACGAGCTTTACAAACACTGCTGAGCTCAAAGGACCAAGTTGCTTTGTAAAACTCCTTGTTCCTGACATATGGAAGCTTCCAGACTGTATTAGTTTTTCCAAAAGCACTGTCAAATCAAAGAGCAGTATAACTACTAACAAACTGTAGTCAATATATGAGAAAGAATGTGATCAGCTATTAGCAGTGTTACAGTGTACCCTATAATGTCTATACATTCCTAGTCCTTTATTTATGATAAAAACAGACAGCAGATATTATTTTTGACCTATATTATACTGGAATCAGTACAAAAACAATATCTGATGTATTGCCTTATGAATTTCAGTGTTTTTTGTAAATATATGCTCACTTAGAATATAATGCCCACAACATGTTTAAAAAGATCTGAACTGAAGACACCGATTGTTCCAGTTCATGAATTATTATTTGCCATTCTTCAGTTACACATGTTTTGAGCTGTGCAACAGTATGGGGCCTTTGTTGTAGTATTTTGCACTTGACAATGCGCCACACCTTTGTCTATGTAAAACAGGCAGGCCAATAAACATGGGCGTCCCTGAAATAGACGGTGTCAACAAAAGCAACATATGTTGCTCCAAAATGTTTGTGGATCCTTCAGCATTAATGATACAGCTATGAAAAGTGTTTATTGACAACAGTTTGTCAAAGTATCCCCAAACCCATGATATGATATCTATCACAGAGATATACTAGCATTTAATGCAGTGCTGTGAGCAGAATTAAAGTTTCAGTTGTGGTTTTTGGTCTTGCTTTTAAACTGCACAGAGATTTTTCCAGATTCCCTGAATCCGATGATATTACGATTCTTATGATATTATGCACTTTAGAGTGTGAAATTGTCTTGGTCTTTCCTGGATACTCCTTTCACACCCAAGCATGACCACATCACCTCTTTTAAAATGTTTTCTAAACATTTAACAATTTTCCAGTTTTAAATTGCCCCTTTGCTAAGATTTTTAGAATGTGTTTGTCTTTCTTGAGTTTAAAGGGGAAGGGGCATTCTTTAAGATATCCTGGAACGATTTTTGCTTGAAAAAAGTTTATTTCTGAGGTGACCGAACTGACCTAACTAATCCTTTTGAAGTGTAAGTATGCTCTGTGCTGAAACCAGTTTAGTTTGTGACAAATCTGCTACATCAGCACCGCTAACCTAGTGATGGCTGCACAAGGATCATCTGATTTGAAGTGAAGCCTTTTTCTTTTTGCCCCCCAACCAGCTAGAGGAGAAAGCAGCCAACTGGCTTCTTCCGCTGTTTAATGATGGATAATAAAAGTACCTCCTCAACTCAATGCGTTCTGGAGGACGCTAGCAAAGCTGGCACTACTTTGCCAAATTTTAAGGTGAAAACGCATTGTAGGCCAAACTCTCCTTCACATACGTGCAGGGCAAGTAGTTTCTAGCTCAAAGAAGCATAGGTAATGTAAGGAAAATATATTCACCCACAGCTGCTAAAAGCCTCACAGCGACACACTCCTACAGCAAACTCAATAATTAAGCTATCCGGCACATAAATGTATAATCAGAATTCTTTCAGAAATGTGAGAGTGAGGGAACGAGTGAGAGTGTGTGTGTGTGTGTGAGAGAGAGAGAGTGGAGTGGTTGGCAGCTGAATAGCACTAAGTGAAGTTGCATTAAATATGGATTGTGTGCATGGGAGATTGCCATGGACGGGGTGTGTTGGGAATCGCCATGGTAACTCTGCCCCCATGGGCACCATGCTTGTCACGTCCCATCACATCAGCAGAACACACAGAGTGGCTTGCGACTCCCTCATGCGTGCAACCTCCCCCTCCTTTTATCTATTTTTTATTCCTCCGCTGTACTCTGAGGTTTCCCTCGCTTTTACCGTGCTGAGAGAGGAAAGACTACATGTGTCACTTCCTGTAGGGATTCACACAGGAGGAGCTTGGGAGTGAAGGGGGGGCAGTGATACACACACACACATGTGCGTGCACAGAAGATGTAGCTGTCATCGTGTGTGCGAGAATGTGCCTGGTGGATCTGGGTCAATCTGATCCCTGACTCATGTCATACAGGAGACCTTCAAAACACATATGCCCACACGCGCACACACACACACACACACACACACACACACACACACACACACACACATACAATCTGCTTCATTTGGAGAACGCACCATATCAGCTTAACACAATCCCCAACGCTCGCCCACTCACACAATGACAAACACTACAGTTGGGATTCTCTAGGCAGCTCACAATTCGATTTGGATTCAGGGTGCCAATTAAAAACCATACTGGATGCATCTTCAATTTTTATATCATAATGCAGACTGTAGATATACACGTTTTTTGGCCTGTTTTCACATCTAGTGCGCTTGCTAAAGGCCACACCACAGTTTTGTGACATTGGCTTATACTCACGAAGCTTGACAGATTAGGAGATTAGAAGTGCTGATTTAGGTTCCATTCCAGTCAGTAAAGTGAAAGTAAATAAAAGAGGAATTTGATCCTAAATCAGGACTCTTACTTTAAAAAGCTTTGTGAATACTCACCATTGTATCTTTCTCCTTTGGTTCGGTTGGTTTCACAATGCAATGTCTCGAGTAAGTGTTCTTCGATTGGTCAGTAGGGCAGCAACAAACAACTAATTTGACAGTCGAATAATCCATTGATTACTGAAACGAATAATCCATTATTCGGATTATGAATCACTACATTACCAAATAACTTTTACGTAGCTATTAGCTTTTAAATC